GGAGTCCACAACCTGGGCATGTGCCTTGACCAGAATCAAACCTGAAACTCTTCAGTCCACAGACCAACGTTCTATTCTCTGAGCCAAACTGGCTAGGACCCTTGAGTAATTTTTGTTGAGATTTGGTGATATCCAAAATACAAAGGGAAGATGGATCATTCTCACCAAGATGCCAGGAAGTCCATGTGATTGTCCAGGCTATGAATCTAAACATAATTAGGAGCTTTCTTTGCACAGAAAATTAATTTGGACACAGTACATTTGATTAATTTAGGCACAATCAGAAGGTGGAGCCTCCTACATAAACTGTCTCCTTTTTTAAAGAATCAATTTGAGACATTGCTGCTTCCCAGAAAAGTTATACATATGCAACAAGCACAACTCAATCACCAACTCTTATCTGACATTTCTTTCTTTCTCATCCTACAAATCTCAGTAGATTCCAAGTTCTCCTTAGAGTGTGTTCTCAGCACTTACATGTGTGGGGGCAGACAGTCATTCTTTAGTCCCGTATTTTAGTGGCTGCCACCACTACCCTTAAGACACTTGCTTCTAAAGAAAATTGTCCCATCTTTTCACCTTTCTTTTAGCTAGAAGAGCTCCCTTTCCAGATTCTCAGACTGACACTGCTGAGGATGCTTATTACTACTGTGCCATAGGGGCCTAGGGAAGACCAGTATCTCTGGCCTGGCGTATTATTTATATACTAATATGTATACTAGTATAACACCATTATTCCTGGCTCTCCTCTATTTTTTAACTCTGCAGAGTTTTCAGACATGTTCCCTCAGGGTACTGGGAATACCTATTTGCTTACTTTCTGTATTACCTTGAAACTCAGAAAACACTTTAATATTTTTGCTTTAAACATATCTGAAATGTAAAACTCTTTTTAATTAAAGTATAGTTACACACAATATCATATTAATTTCATGTGTACAATATAGTAAAATGTCACATTTATTACAAAGTGATCACTACAAACAGTCTACTACCCATCTGTCACCGTACAAAATTATTGTGATATTGGAACATGTAGTCATGTAAATTGAAGATTTGTTATCTCATTCCTAGCAATACCCAGATTTTTTTTAAAAAAAGTATTCACATCTCCTCCACAAAGTCCTTGTGTTTTCAGGAATTTAGTCCTGCTCCTAATTCTGGGAATAGTCCAATTTGGTTTAAGCCAAGCTGTATAGTCCATTCCCCCAGGGGGAAAAAAAAAAAAAATCACTTGCTGGTGAATGACCTAAGCTAGCCCAGTTAGGAGAATCTCTGAACTTTTCTTACTAAACTAGGAAAAAAGCACTCTTTCTCCCTCTACTGGTCATGAAAAAGAAGTTTATGTGGCTGGCAAATAATTGTTTTTACCATAGTATCACCTTTGGAGGATTATATGCTTATTCTAAAAAAATAAATAAATAAATAAAAAATTGGCCAACAAATTGAAAAATTTCTATTTCAGAATATAGTTTTCAGTATACAGCATATTCTTTTAGGTATATATACCTCACTGGTAGAAAAGCCCTGCTCTTTGAGTGTAACTTTTATTATTATTATTATTTTTTAAAAAACTATGAGTTACTCAGAATCAAGAGTTTGAGTAATAGTATTTATGGTTTTTTATTTTTTTCAAATCTCCAGCTGCCTGAGTAACTTCTTTTTAAAATTTCTTTATTGATTAAGGTATCACATATTTATATACTTATGGTTTTTTAAAGGAAAATGTTTTACTTGCAAATGGCTTCCTTGTGGCTAAAACATTAGTCCCAAAGGCATCATTTCTTTTTGAACAAGTAAACCACCTATATTTACTGTGAGAAGAAAACATCTTCACTTCTCAATTGCACCTTATTGAACTCTGGCTTTTCCCTGATATTTAAAAATATTTAGACCTACTGGTATTTCAAAATAGCTCATCCTTAACAAAAAGTTTTAGCACCCGAACATTCTTTCTTAAAGGCTAAAACCTCAAGTTTACTCAGGCAACCATGAACACTGCCATATTAACACCTGCTTATGACATCATATAGTCAAATGCAGTAAAGGAGATGTTTAGAAGTTGAACGCAAATTTTGCTTAGTCTGGTAAGAAGTTGAATGTAAATTTTGCTTAGTCTGGTACTCTCAGCCAACCAAATAGGACATGAGGCCAGATGGCTTCCTATCTGTGTGGTCTGCTATATAGCTTAGATGCATTTGAAGTTTCTATAACTTTTACCACTTCCTCTTAACTCTCAAACCCCTTATCATTCATTCTAACAAATGGGTGCATGTGAAAAATATATCTGCAAAGGCACTAGATAGCAGGACCCAGATAGATATCATATAATAAAGCTTGGCAAGAATCATTTAATCTATCAGTTCTCCAAGAAGTTCTGTGCCCATACCAATCTAGACACCAAATTAGTTCTATTTTCAATAAATATCTTTAGTTAAGGAGTTTTCCAGTCATTTAATCTATTTTTAACAAATAATCCTGTATCTTTAAGACCATGGTACAAATGATATAATTCAGATCTCATCACTATCTCTTTTGAGTAAGGATGACTTCTTTGAAGCTTACTTGAGGTAAGACATGAGAAAGTCAGATTCTTTAATAACCTGACTAGCTTTTCTACTTTACTTATAATATTTTGCAGAGGAAGAAATAATTAAGTGGAGACTTTCATTGGGGGTTTGAATTTCCTAATCCTAACCAGAAAATGGTAAATGATCTTTTATAACATCTTTCTTCAGAGACATTCTAAGAACAGCCATTGTATTTGTCTTCATGAGACAATTGTGATGTTAAGGAAGACACATTTTCATTTTTTAAAGAATAGCTATATATATTAATAAAAGAGAAACATGCAAATTGACCATCCCTTTGCTATGCCCACCATCCAATCAGGAGTTCGTATGCAAATTAACCCAACCAAGATGGTAGCGACCATGGAGCTGGAGTGAGCAGGAAGCTTGGGTTGCCCCTGGTAATGAAGGAAGCCAAGCTTCCCACCTGCCCTGGCCTCCACTCAAGAAAGGACTAGAAACAAAAAAAGAAAAAAAATGGAGGAGGGGCTAAGAACCTGGGTCACCAGGGGCATGGCCAGCCTGCAAAGAGCCATCAGCCCCTCACTTAGGCTGGTCACACCCCCCTGGAGTAAGTGTACCTGCTGGGGGCCATGATTAGCCTGCAAATAGCCATCAGTCCCTCACCCAGGCTGGCCATGCACCCCCAGTAGTGACTCTCACCCCATGGGGGCATGGCTGGCTTGAAAACCACCACAAGCCCCTAGCTTAGGCTGCCCCACCACCCAAGGGAACCCCTATCTTGATCCGGGATACCCTTCAGGGCAAACCAGCCAGCCCCCATCCATGCACCATGCCTCTACCTATACTAATAAAAGGGTATTATGCTAATTAGACTGGGAGACCTTCCAGGAAACCTTCCAGATATTCTTCTGGATAAAGCCATAGTGGCGGGGCTGAGGTAGAGGTGGTTAGAGGCCAGAGGGAAGGGCAGTTGTGTGTGATCAGGCCAGTGAGGGGAGGAGGGGCATTGGGAGTAATCAGGCCAGCAAGAGGTGAGCAGACCAGCAACAGGGGCCAGTTAGGGGTGAGAAGGCCGTCAATTAGGGTCAGTTGGGGGTGATCAGGCCAGTCGGGAGGGCAGGTGTGGGTGAGCAGGCCAGTAGGGGGGGCAGTTGGGGGTGAGCAGGCTGGCAGGGGGGCATTTGGGGGCAAGCAGGCTGGCAGCAGGGGGCAGTTGGGGGCGAGCAGGACAGCATGCAGAGTGGTTAGGGGCAATCAGGCAGGCAGGCAGGGGAGCAGTCCCGGATTGCGAGAGGGATATCCAACTGCCGGTTTAGGCCCAATCCCTGTAAACCAGCAGTAGGACATCCTTCGAGGGGTCCCAGACTGAAAAGGGTGCAGGCTGGGCTGAAGGAAACTATCTCCCCCCACACATTAATTTCATGCACCGGGTCACCATATAATGCAAATTAGCCGGGATGCCTGCTTAAGGCATCACGGTCGGCTCCAGATGAACTGCGCATGCAGATAGGCTAGAGGGGACTGTGTGCCACCCCCAGCCCCAGTGGCTACAGGGAGACTTAGGCTGGGGCAGGCCGAAAAATAGACACAACATCAGGGCTGGGGGCATGCTCTGAGCAACCTTGACGTGGTTCGGAGCTATCCCCACCCCAGGGGACACAACATAAGGGGGAAACACCTTTTCTGATTTCTCATTGGCTAAGCTCCCTGTACACTGCCATTCACAGTGTTCTTGGTAACTTGGGTATTAAGAATCCAAGAAGGTGATCTAGAGTTTTTCCACCTTACTCCTGGAGGAAAAATGAAGGTCCACTGCTGGAAGGGCTAAGAAATGTCATATTCTGCCCTAGCTAGTTTGGTTCAGTGGATAAAGCCTTGGCCTGTGGACTGTATGGTCTGGGTTTGATTCTGTTTAAGGGCATATACCTAGGTTGCAAGATCGTTGATGGGGGTGACACCTTCTTCTGATCAGCTGGTCACCTCCCACAGAGGGAGGCCAGTCTGCAGCTAAGCCATCAGTAGGACATCCTCTGAGTACTCTCAGACCATGAGAGGGGGTAGGCCGGGCTGAGGGACCCTCCACCTCAGTGCACAAATTTCATGCACCCGACCTTTAGTTGAGATATAATTGATATTCAAGAATCTGGACATATTTAATATATACTTTTTTTAGTTTGGAGACATGCATTTATATGCAAATAAAGATTTGCAAGTGCCTAGTACAAATCCAGTTTTTCTCCTTTAGTAAACAAAGTGATGATAACAATTTTATGAAGCTTTGCCATCTTTTAAAATGATTCATTTATCTAAGTACAAATAAAATAAAATAAAATGAATGTTATTGGTTCAAATTAATAAAAAAAAGTTAGTGACTAGGAGTAGTACATTAAATTAATTAATGTACTTTTAATTTAAAAATGCTTATTTTATGGATGTAAACAAGAGGTATGATATAAATGTAATTAATTGCACAAAGTGCTTAGTTTATTAATATGAGAAGCAGAAGGATCAACTACCAAACTATATTGTATTGAGTCATTAAAACACAAGCTACTTGCCCTGGCCAGTATGACTTGGTTGGTTGGAGTGTTGTCCCATACATCAAAAAGGTTGCAGGTTCAATTCCTGGTCAGGGTGTATATGGGAGGCAACTGATTGATGTTTCTCTCTCACCTCAATGTCTCTCTCTCTCCCTCTCTCTAAAAGCAATGAAAACATATTTAAAACACACACACACACACACACACACACACACACACACCACTTTATTTGTCAATTATGTCAGCACTCAAAATTGTCCAGTTAAAATCTAATTCCTCTTGAAAAAGATAAATATACTGAAGGGAAATGCAAGGAACTTAAGACTGCTACCATGATTGTGAGGAACTGAGTCACAGGGAAATATGGCAAGCTTGAAAAGGAGAGATGTGAGCAGGGCCATCATAGGGGTGAAAAATGGAGAAATCTGAGATAACCAGTTACAAAATGAATGTGTGTGTGTGGAAAATATATCTGCAGAGTCACTAGCTAGCAGGCTCCAATTCTAAATCCAAGTACCCAATTAAAAAAAAAATAAGACTAGAAATCTGAAACTTAAGGCTACAAGTCTAACATCTAGACATTCCCTTCATAGGCTTTACTTTATAAGCCTATTGAACAGAAGGTCAGTAACAGCAAATGTACTCTTTCCTCTCTTGGTTTCAATGTTAAAGGGTATCTGGGGGGGCTGTGGGTTCAGCTGAGATTATACTTGGAAGAGCTTATTGAAGCAGGGTGGACAATAGGTCTTGCCATTCTGTTCCTTAAAGATTCCCTTTGACAACTGCGTCAGGCAGAAAGCACAGACGAAGTGCTCAGGATGGAACTTGTAGCCCATGGCACTGATGCAGCGGCCGGCGATGGGCTGCCCACACCCATGGCAGAGGGTTCCTCGGCGCTGATGGTAATGGAGCTCGCAGAATGGACGTCCATCCAGTTCAAAGAAGGAGCCAGTGGAGAAACTGGTGAAGCAGTCCTGGGGGTGGATAGAAGAGAAAGGAAAGGAAGGCGGATGTCAAGAATAAAACATCAGCAAAGTAAAACTTTCAGCCTAGAAATTCCTGCCAAATGAAGGCTAGAATATGGTCCACTTGCAAAACGGAAAGCAAATGCCACAACAAATGCTGTGTTACATGTCTCCTTTAGAAAGTCCACATCAAGCCCTCATCCCAAGCCCTGACCCCTCTTAGCAGCTCCGCCTCTCAGAGAGGAGAACCCCTGACTTTCCTTAAATCCAAAATAATAATAATAATAATAATAATAATAATAATAATAATAACTGAGTGCACAGACCCCACAAACAAAGCACTCTGGGTGCCAGACAGTGTCCATGGCTGAAAGGTAGTTTTCCAACACTGGGCGGTTGCAGCCCCCACACTTGGGTGAGAACATGGCTAAGAAATCCTTCCGGCAATATGGCTTCTTGTCCTTCTCGTGAAAACCTAGAGAGAGAGAAATCAAGGATTCATTGGTGCAGTTTGAGACCAGAAGCCAAGTTGGAGGTTGAAAAGAGGCCAATGATTTTAAACTCTCCCAAACTCAGTGTATTTGTGTTCAAAATAATGGAGCTAACAACAAATATCTACCTCAAAGGGCCATTCTGAGAAATACAGTGATAATGCAGGTAACATATTTCAGTATTGTACCTGAGTCATAATGAGCATTAACAGTGGTAAGGGCTATTGCTTCTTGATGCCTTAGTATTAACTATTCCCTTCGCCTGGACAGTTCTGCCCCAGATCTCAATATGGCTAGCCTCACCTTGTCATTTATAAATCAGCTTAAAAAAAATCATCTTATCGAAGAGGCATTTCTTCAGCCTGTATCTTGGTCTTTTTCATTGCCTTTATTTACTGTTATCTAAAATCATCTTTGTGGTCTATCTTTCCTAGTGGAACATTAGCTCTGAGAGAAACTAGATCTTGTCACACTGTATCTCCAGTATCTAAAATGGCACCTGGAAAAAATCTGTCTCATATTTAAAAATATAGAACTATGAAATAATAATTTCCAAATAGATGTAAGATCTAAATGTAATAATTCAAACCATACAAATACTTGAATTTAAAAATTGGTGTATTCTTCTTTAATCTGGGAATGAAATAAGAACTGTCATAAAATATCTCAAATTTTAAAAGCAAGTTAAATATTAATAAATTAAGCTACATAAAAATATATATTAATGACATGTGCATAATCAAAAAGCACTATAAGCAAAGCTAAAAGGGAGGAAAAACAAAGGAAATGATTTGTTAGTTATATCTCAGAGAAATATAATGAATATAAAGGTTCCTAAATAATTATATGATTTAGCATGGCTGGTGTGGCTCCACTGTTGAGCATTGAGCCAAGAATTAAGAGGCCGCTGGTTCCATTCCAGGTCAGGGTACATTCCCAAGTTGTAGGCTCAATCCCCTGTCAGGGGGCATTCAGGAGTCAACTGATCAATGATGTTTCTCTTATTGATGTTCCTACCTCTCTATCCCTTTCTATTCCTCTCTAAAATATATGTTTAAAAATAATATGGTTTCAATTATTGTTTTATAAAATGTCTTCCTAAAAATTGAATCAAGTGGAAACAAATTGGTGATATGACCAAGGAAAGGCAATAATTCATTCTAGTGTCCTTAAAACACCGTATTTTGACTGTACAGTCCTACTGGATGAATTCTAAAGACAAAAAGAACTACAAAAAAATCTCAGTACCTCTCTGTGGGACCTGATAGTGTTGGTTGAGCACAAATATCATAAGCCAATATCTCTGCAAATCTGAAAGCTCCACCTGTGCCTACTAAAATAGTGTGAAAGTAAAGCATACTCAGTGGATTGGAAAGTAGCCCACCAAGAGCATTATTTCTAGAAATCTATTTTGATAGTAGCAGCCGAATTAAAAAAGAGAAAAAAGGCAATGGGACCCAAATCAGGTGGTTGTAATCTTCCCATAATCTCCAGTCACTGTTAGATATGTCTTGCCTTGTTCAATGATGCTGTCTTGGAAAAAGCAGATAGCCTAACAGACTTCTGAGGCCTATGGATCTAATAATCCAAACTATAATTGTTTTCTTTCCTCTGAGACAGAGATGAGATTGCTGACTTTTTTTCACTTTATCAAAGAATTTCTAGAGTCTGATCAAGTGCAACTGACTGTGGACAATTCTAGTATTTAAGAAAAACAAACAAAGATGCACAGCCACCTTTCTTGCTTTTGTGTGCCCCAATATTTCTTACACATTCTTGTGCATCCATCACCTGGTGAGATTACTGGCTGGGCCCCACCCCAGAGTGTCTGATTCAGTAGGTCTGGGATGGGGCCTGAGAATTTTTATTTCAGACAAGTCCTCAGGCAATGCAAATGACCTAAAAGTGAGCTTGTTTGTAAGTCAGTGTAACTTGAGAAAACTATAAGACAAGACATGCCAACTGATCTAGGAATGACCCCCATCTAGGCATTTGTAGGGTAGCCGGTCATAAGAATGAGACAACAGAGAAGTGACAGCCTCTGTTTGAACTCAGGTGAGTCTCAGGAGAGGAATCGAAAGCAATAAGCCAAACTTGCTGTGATACCCCTGCATATGTTATGCAATAAGTTGAGAAAGTTTCAGCACCTACTTGCCTAGAGGCTCTCTCTGGGGCCAATTACCTCTGGAGGAGAGACAAGAAACACTAACAATTAAAAGTGCCACACTCTGTGAGGCTCTTATCCGCCAGGGAAATTAGGGAGCACCTGCATGGCCTGGATAATGAACAATTAAAAAGAAGGTAGGCGATGAGGACCTATTCCCTATGGGAGGATGTTAAGGCCTGGTATACTTAGAAGCTTGAGGCTTAAAGAGCAATTCCCTGAACTGAAACAAAAAATGCAGATGAATTTAATTTCCCAGGAGGCCCAAGGAGTTAGCTGTCATTATAGAAGCTCTGTGTGTGACTTGAGTAAAGCAGGATACTACCTAATTGATGGACTAACCCTATAGTAGGAGACCCATTTACAGAAATCAAAGAATAAAAACAAAAATGCTATTCAAGAGGAGCTTCTGATTAGTAGATGGCCTTTTTATTCAATTTTCTAAATAAATATTTCTTAGGTGTGGCTTCATATTTATGTGAATTTATAAATAACCCAAGCTGCCTGTCAGTTTAGAAGAGGCTCAAGTCAAAAGCAATGATGCTTTCTATTCGTCCTATGGATAGGATATTTTCCTGTTGTATCTAACTTACATTTCTTCTTGAAATTCATCTGTATCCTTTTGTTTTGCTCTTAGGCAATGTCCACATCGTAATTATCTCTGGGTCATATTCTATTTACTATTCTATTCAACTAGCTCTTAGAATTCTATGGCTATTGCAATATAAATTCTATGGCTACTGTGCAATATAAATTTGCCATGACACATTTCAATATGCTTTAGATTAAACCCCAATGAAAAATATGCTTAACTAAAGTGCAATCTAGTAATGAAAGGCCTAATGATTTGTGAAAAGCATTGAACAAGCTTCAGTGAACATGCAAATTACTATAAAGCACTTAGCTAGTGGATTATATCAGTGCTATTCAATCCAGGTCTATCTTCAAATAAAGTGCATTATGTTGGTGCCAAAAAAGTACAAAGTTCCAACAGTAGAAGAGGAATTGAGACTTTGTCAAAGAGCACTTAGGATGCTGTAGAAAAGCAAACAAACATGAAACTTGCAAAAACAATACTTTAATTTAAATTCCAATTTTATGACTTTAAGAAAATCACTTTTTGCTGAAATTGAAACCAGTTTGGCTCAGTGGATAGAATGTCGGCCTGCGGACTGAAAGGTCCCAGGTTCGATTCCGGTCAAGGGCATATACCTTGGTTGTGGGCACATCCCCAGTAGGAGGTGTGCAAGAGGCAGCTGATCAATGTTTCTCTCTCATTGATGTTCTAACTCTCTATCCCTCTCCCTTCCTCTCTGTAAAAAAAATCAATAAAACATATTTTCAAAGAAAATAACTTTTCCTTTCTGAGGTTCAGTGTTTTCATCTATAACTAGATAAAGTGGGAATAAAATTAGTCTTACACAGTTGTGGATGGGATTAACTGAATGGTAATTATGAATATACATAATAACAGGCCTGACATTAGTAGAGTCCACATTGGTGAGGGTAAGACTCATGGGATTATCTTCACTTCCATTTGAAACATCACTGACATAATAGTTAAATAATAATCTAAAATAGAAAGACCCATAGGAAAAGGAGAAAAGGAAAAGAGATGCCACAAATGAGATATCAATAAAATTTTTGAAATTTTGAAGTAGGTATAAGTATGACAACTAGCTTGGCAAAGACAAGAACACTGAAATCTACCCGTGTTTCTCTGAAAATAAGACATCCTCCGAAAATAAGACCTAGCGCATGGAAAGATAAGACATCCCCTGAAAATAAGCGCAACTTTGGGAGAAAAAATTAATATAAGACACTGTTTTATTTTCAGGGAAACAGGGTATGTCTCCAGAGAGAGGAGGTCCCAATAAAACTTAAGTTATCTGGAGCTCCAGATTATCAGCTCAGGAACTGAATGCATAAGATAGTCTCAAGACTAAAAACAGGATTGGTTACAATTCTGAGGAGCTGTTAGAAGATCAGATTCCCCACCCTACCATAAGATGCAGTAATTAATTCTGGAGATATCAAACTGGAGATTCTGGGCACCATGAGGAAAGAAGTAAATCTTTCTACTGGGGGAAAAAAAAAGGGGGGGGGGAAAGGGGGGATTACATACAAGCTGGCATTCTGAATGGTGAAACCTCATTTTCTAATCCTTTTAAAAAATTTTCGTAATGTTGGCAGAGAGAACATCTCTTGAATTGATTCAAGATTAAAGGCCGAGCCCTAATCAGTTTGGCTCAGTGGATAGAGTGTCAGCCCACAGATTGAAGATTCTTGGGTTCATTTCCAGTCAAGGGCATGTACATTAGTTGCAGGTTCCCCAGTCCTGTTTGGAGTGCATGCAGGAGGCAACCAATGGATGTGTCTCTCTCACATTGATGTTTCTCTCTATCTCTCCCTTCCACTCCCTCTAAAAATCAATGGAAAAATATCCTCAGATGAGGATTAAGCTGTGGTACATTTGCAACATGGAATACTATGCAACAGTAAAGAAGAGGGATGATGATTATTATTATTATTATTATTGATTTCAGAGAGGAAGGGAGAAGGGAAGAGAAATATCAATGATGAGAGAGAACCACCGATTGGCCATCCCCTGCACACCCCCCATTGGGGATCGAGGTGGCAACCTGGACATGTGCCCCCAATGGGAATCGAACCCAGGACCCTCAGTCTGCAGGCTGACATTCTATCTACTGAGCCAAACTGGCCAGGGCAGAAGAGGGATCTTTTATGCCTTGAGACAGAATGGGGGACCAGTCAAGCATATGCCAAGCAAAATAAGCCAGTCAGAGAAAGACAAGCATCACATTATCTCACTCATATGTGGAATCTAGAGAACAAAATAAACTTATGAACAAAATAGATCCAGAGACATAGAAGCATGGTACAGACTGTGGCATCTCAGAGAGAAGGCAGGGAGAAGGTGGGTAGGTGGGAAGAGATCAACCAAAGAACTTGTATGCATAAATGCATAACCAATGACACAGATAATAAGGTAGTGAAGGCCTAGGGCAGGGGGTGAAGGTGGGCTAGAAAAGGTCAATGGGGGAAAAAGAGGATATATGTAATACTTTTAACAATTTTTAAAAAAGATTTTTAAAAATCATAAAAAGACAAAACAAAAATACTTCTCAACTGTGGAAACTGGAAGACAGTGAAGCAAACAAAGTCTTTAGAATTATGAGGGAAAATAGTTTCCACCTAGAATTGTCTGCCCAGGCAACTGAAGATAGACAACAGATCAAAAATATTTTTAGATATTCAAGGTCTCAAAATTTTTACCTGTTCTCAAGAGTTACTACAGGATGTGTTTTATCAAAATAAAGACAGTAACATGTATTAAAAGACTTGAGGTCCAGGAAACAGAGGATCCAAAGAGTAAAACAGTAAAAGGAATTCCCAAGATAATGGCCCAGAACAGTGGTTGGCAAACTGCAGCTCATGAGCCATAGGCGGCTCTTTGGCCTCCTAAGATTTTAGCAAAAACCAGCTTAGGAGTACCCTAATTAAGTTAATAACAATGTACCTACCTATATAGTTTAAGTTTTAAAAAATTGGCTCTCAAAAGAAATTTCAATCGTTGTACTGCTGATATTTGGCTGTTGACTAATGAGTTTGCTGACCACTGACCCAGAATAACTGCTTCTGAATAGGCCTCAGGCTGGAGCAGGAATATGGGTGTCTCTGGGACAGATGTCTATGAGAAAGAACAAATGGAACTGACCTATCACCACATGTGGTTGACTGCTTTGAGAAAGACTTCATAGTTCTGTCAGAAAATTAGTAATAAGTATAATGAAAATTAAGCTAATGAAAAAAGGATCCAAATGTTGACTTCAGGAAAAAAAAAAAAAAAATATATATATATATATATATATATATATATATATATATATATATATATGTAATTTTATATATGCACTCCATGTGCCAGACACTGTTTTAAGCCTTAATAAAGACTCTTAAAATCCTCATAATGATCCTACAAGGTAGGCATAATTATTAGGGCCATTTTACTGATAAGGAAAGTGAGATACAAAGAGGTTAAGTGACTGGAACAACATCATCCTATATTATAAAACCCTAATATGCAAATCGACCCAACAGTGGAACAACTGGTCACTATGATGCACACTGACCACCAGGGGGCAGATGCTCAACACAGGAGCTGCCCCTTGGTGTCAGTGCTCTCCCTGTGGGAGAGCACCATTCAGAGAGAAGCTGGGCTCATGGCTGGCAAGCTCAGTGGCGGTGGCGGGAGCCTCTCCCACCTTTGCTGTAGGCTGGTGGTAAGGAGTGAGAGGTCCTGGACTGCAAGAGGGATATCTGCCTGCCAGCTTAGGCCAAATAGCTGGCTGGCAGACATCCCTTGAGGGGTCCCGGACTGCAAGAGGGCACAGGTCAGGCTGAGGGACTCCCCCTCCTCGATGTACGAATTTCATGCATTGGGCCTCTAGTATAGTAAATAAATGTCACAGTCCAGATTTAAACCATGTAGTCTGATTCCAAAAGCCAGGTTCTACTGTAATCACAGTTTGCTACCCAGGCTCAACTGTCAGCAATATTTACATGATTATCTACCTATACACACTGAATACTGACCTGACCTGCAATTATGACCTAATTATAAACTGAGAAAATGTGGAAGGGGAAATAGGTTGGTGGTGAAAGTATGGTATCCCTAAATATGGTGGGATAGTAATAACATTTCTAAATCCTCATCTTCTCTAATAGAAAGTGAATACATAATGATTAAAATTAGGCAGAAAACAAATTTGTAGTAATGTATCACTTAAAAAACCTAAGTAAATAACAAAAAGAAAAGCTAAAAAAAATTAAGAGAGAAGTAGGATTGGGGTGGAGAAAGGAGGAGCAGGGGACTGTTCATTTTTAATATCACCCTTGAAGTAATGTTTGAGTTTTTAAACTATGCAATCATGTTTCTTTGGTTAAAATAATTCAATTTTAACAAAATCTATAAGTGTTGGGAAAAGGTAGGGAAGGATGGCATGTGGCACTGAAATAGGCACTTGGGTGGTAGAGGCAGAATCCCGGACAACCAGGACAGATCAAAGTACCCCAGGCCATACCTTCTGCACCAAACACCTCTCCACAGTGAGAGCAGAAGAAGTGCTCTGGGTGCCAGGTTTGGTTCATTGCCGTCAGCACTCTCTGGAAAAGGAACACACGGAGAGATATCAGAATGCCTCCGAATTGTAAACCACGACCCTGGTTCTATAGGAATGATGAAAAACTACAGGAAAGCAGAGGGAGGGGGGTTTACTCACATCCAGGATGGGAGCAGCACAGTAAGCGCAGCGTGGCGAAAACAGGTGGTGGTAGTCCTTGGGGCAGTAGGCCAAGCCACTGCGCTCAAAGAAGGGACTGGAGCCAATCTCTTCTTTGCAGTGACTACAGATGAAGTGCTCTGGATGCCATGCTTGCCCAAGAGCATGGATTACCTGGAAAAGGAAAACAAAGCCTGGTGTGAGAGCCAGGAGGGTGTTCTAGGGCCTGCAGGTTGCACATTGTGGTGGGCACTCTTCACACAGTTTTCTTAGTAAATGACACCCCTGGAGTTAGACAACACTAAGGCCTGGACCTGGGTCCCACCTTTGTCGTCTGTTGCCCATGCTTTATGGAGAGGAAAAAAGTGCCCACTTTCTTGACTGCTCACCCTGATAAAAGCCTATAAATATTTATTACCACTATACTGCCCCAGATGGTATAAGAAACAAAATAGAGCACAGTAGTGATAGAAGCATATAACTACTGCCTTGGCAGGGATCCTAGAAGAGGGAAAGGCCAAAAGACAGTTTTTGTTCCTCTGGTTTGAACATCTCATCTCACGCTCCATGCAGAGTTGGGTCTGAAAACCCTGTGATGAGAGCAGGAGTTAGTGGCGAAGATTTGGAGTTGAATGCAGCTAAAAATTAAATGCAATCGATTTAAACTAGGCATGTTTGCACTGAGGGAACAGTGAGAAAGTTCCTCTCAAGTAAAGGCAGCACAGAGGTTAAAAGCTTAAACTCAGGTTAAAAGCTTGACCATCCTGGGTTCAGATCTTAGCTTTACCTCTTACTAGACCTCAGTTTCATAACCTTTACAAAGGGAATAATACTAGAGTCTCCCTCAAGGACTAATGTGACCATTAAATGAAGAAATACTTGTAAAAGCACTAGCTCACTGCCCAGAGCACTATAAGTGATCAGTAATTATTAAATACTAGAGGCCTGGTGTATGGATTCGTGCACCAGTGGGGTCCCTTGGTCTGGCCTGCACACTCTCACAGTCCAGAACCCCTTGGGGGTTTTTACTGCCAGTTTTGACCCAGCCCCCAGGCCCAGGCTTAAAGGCCCCAACAGTGCACAAATCCATGTACCGAGCCTCTAGTATGCATATAAGATTTTTGGTTAACCTCTTCCCACCCTTCCCCCTGCCCCTTTCCCTCTGAGATTCATCAGTCTGTTACATGTTTCCATGCCTGTGTGTTGAGTGTCTGCCCCCTGGTGGTGAGGGCACATCATAGCTAACAGTCGAATGGTCAAATGGTCACTTAGGTTTTTATATATATAGACTAGAGGCCCTGGTGCATGGGGGCGAGGGTCCCTTCAGCCAAGCCTGAACCATCTCCAATCCAGGACCTGTTGGATGTCTGACTGCTGGTTTTAAACCGGAAGACATTCCTGTTACAATCCTGGACCACTGGCTCCTAACTGTTCACTTGCCTGCCTGTTTAATCACCTCTAACTGCCTCCCCTGCCAGCCTGATAACCCCTAACTGCCTCTGCCTACCAGCCTGATCACCCCTCACTGCCCCCCTCCCATGGCCTGGTTACCCCTAACTGCCCCCCTGCTGGCTGGCCTCATCAACCCTAACTTCCTTTGCCTGCTGGCCTGATCGCACACACACACACACACACACACACACACACACACACACACACCCGCCTGCCAGCCTGGTTGCCTCACACAGCCTGCTGTTCGGTAGTTTGGTTGCCTCTCACTGCCCCCCTCATGGCCTCATCAACCCTAACTGCCTCTGCCTGCTGGCTAATCACCCGCAACTGCCTCCTACCCTCCTGCTGGCCTAGTTGCTCCCATCTGACCCCCCCACCCCACCCCGCTGACCTGGTCGCCCCCCACAGCCTATTGTTCGGTATTTCGGTCACCTCTTACTGCCACCCCTGCTGGCCTTGTTGCCCCATGCAGTCTGCTGCTCGGTCATTTGGTCGTCCCTCACTAACCCCACTGCCGACCTGGTTGCCCCATGCAGCCTGTCATTCGGTTGCGATGATTGCTTAGGCTTTTATATAGATAGATTATTAAAACATCTTAGAATATAATGAGAAATAACAATCTTTGATGGGACAGACACACACACACACACACACACACACACAGACATAGATGGTTGTAGGACCAAAATCTTGGCCCGACTCACCTTTCCAGCAATCAATTTCTGGCAGGAAGCACAATGGCCCTTGGGCACTGTGGCAATCCCAAGGTCCTGCAATTCCTGCTCCAATCCCCCCAGCATTGAGTCCAGGGAGGCCTTGTGATCCTGCTTGTCTGGTAAATACTTCTCGCTGGCATCTGCTTTCACTGCCACCTGGTACCAAAGAGAGAACCATGAACAGAGTCAGCCTCGAGGAATTCATCCTCAGTGGCATCTTCTTCATAATCCTATAAACTCACCTCTACTGATGGACCCTTTAGTCTTTCCTGAAGCTTCCTCCAAGATATAAAAGAATTCAACATTATAACACCAATAAAAATGCTTTCATCTCTTTTTCATTCTAAATTCCTCATGCTGAATGAAATCTGATTAATCTTCCTTCTGGAAATTGAGTGGGTGAAGATAATGCTGGCTATTGTGATAATCACAATTCAGCAGTCTTCTTTTTATTCATTTATTCTGCAGTGTTTATTGAGCACCTAGTTTTCCCCAAACCCTGTTCTAGGCTGGCTCTTGGTAGAGACTATGTACAAGAGCAACCAAATGTCTCTCTTCATAAAGTTTACATTCCCTGGGTGACAGACAATAAAAAATTAAAATGAATATATGATGGCCCTAGCTGGTTTGGCTCAGTGGATAGTGTCGGCCTGTGGACTGGGTCAGTTCCAGTTGGGGGCACATGCCCAGGTTGCAGGCTCAATCCGCAGTAGGGGGCATGCAGGAGGCAGCCTATCAATGATTCTCTCTCATCACCCTTCTTCTTGAAAATCATAGATGTTTCTATCTCTCTCTCATTCTCCCTTCCTCTCTGAAAATCAATAAAAATATGTTAAATAATAATAATAAATGAATATATGATGCAGTGCCAGAAAGAAATATGATATATATTAGTGGTCCAGTGCACAAAATTCATGTACAGAAGAGGGGTTCCCTCAGCCCAGCCTGCACCCTCTTTTATTGGGGACCCCTTGGGGGATATCTGACTGCTGGTTTAAGCCCAATCCCTGTAGAATCAGGGCTAAACCAGCAGTTGGACATCTCTCTCACAATCTGGGACTGCTGGCTCCTAACCGCTCATCTGCCTGCCTACCTGATAGCCCCTAACTGCCTCTGCCTGCCTGCCTGCCTGCCTGATTTGCCCCTAACCCCTCTGCCTGCCTACCTGTTCACCTGCCTGCCTGCCTGCCTGCCTACCTGATTGCCCCTAACATCCCTCCCCTGCTGACCTGATCTCACCCCCAACTACCTCTGCCTGCCTGATTAACCCCAATGACCCTCCTCTGCTGGCCTGATCTTGCCCCCAACTGCCCTCTCCTTAAGGTCTGATCTCACCCCCACCTGCCCTCTTCTGCCAGCCTTATCTTGCCCCCAATTGCCCTCCTCTGCTGGCCAATTTGGTTTTGAATGGTCAGTTTCTATGCCAGCCAGTGTCAAAAGCTCCACCTCCTAGGGAGCCATTGACTCCTCACAGTTCACCCAGATTTGGTTCTGATTGCTCTGTTTCTACACCAGTCAGCATCTCTGGGCCTATCAACAGGGCCTGATCAGAAAGGCAAAGCTGATCAGCAGCCCTGGTGGAGGCCTGGAGATGAATGGAGGTGCAGCTGCTGGCCAGGCCCAAGAGAAAGAGAGAAGCAAATGCTGATCAACAGCTGCCACACAGGCTACAGATCAAACCCTACTTCTCTCTTCAGGCCTCTCTCCGGGCCTGATTCACAGCCCCCTCAGCAGTCAGTGCTGGGCCACTGCACCTGCAGCCTAGCAGTCAGCGCTGGTTGCCACGGCAATCCAGCGCTGACTGCAGGACTGATTTCTGGTTGGTCAAGCCTCCAGTCATTGTGGATGTGATGGACCCAGTGATTTTATATATTAGGATTATACATCAAGATAAAAGTGACTGAGGGTAGGATGGTGAGGAAGAATTGATTGAGATGATGGTGATTAGAGAAGGACCTCTAAGGATGTGATATTTCAGTGGATATTTAAGTGATGTACTTAGGGAATCAGAAATATTGATTTCTGTGGGGAAAGCATTACAGAGGAAGGGGAGAACCAGAGGAAGGAAGTTGCTTGGTACATGAGAAGAATGGTAAAAAAAAAAAAAAAAAGTTAGTGGGGCTAGAGTAGAGAGAGTGAAGTTGTGTGTGGCAGGAGAAGATGATAGAGAAGGAGGCAAAGATCACAATGATCACATTTTTACCCTCATGATAAAAGATATGATTTTATTGCAAAGATAATGGAGTTATTGGAGGATGGAAAGAATCTGATTTATAAGATTCCTATGGTAGCTGAGTGAGGAATTAAGTGTAGAGAGGAATTAGAGGCACTAGTTATGTGGGAGACTATAATAACAGCTCAAACAAGAAATAATGACTTGGACATTCTGGTTGGGGACAAGGGTGGTGAGAAATTGTCAGATAAGACTTGCTGATGAATTGTAGTTATTGAAGAAAAATTCCAAAATAGTTACAAAACATTAAAATAGTTATTTTAAAAAAGAAACTTTTATCATCTAACAGATAACCTTCCTCCTCTATTATATGACATTAGTTAATGTTGAAAAGATCAGTGTTCAAAAGGTTAATGTCTAAAAGGCCTGCAAGGGTGACCAATATTAAGTACAAAAATAAGTAAAAACACAATAATATATCTATATTTACAATGACATTTACATCATATCCTAGAAATACTTCTGAATCAGTATGTAAGAAACAAAAAATATTGATCATCTCCAGGCAGCAGAACTGGATAATTTGGGACAGAGCTGATAAGGAAACTGTTCATTACAAACTTATATGCTTTTGAATTTTGTGCAATGTGAAGGTATGGCCTATTAAAAAAATAACAGATATTTAAAAATGTAAATAAATAAAGAAACATGCTAAATCAATTAGAAAACATCACACAAACATAAAGTCTACTTTTTTTGTATTTCCAAATATACAGTTCAATGAGGAATAAACTCAGCTTTCTTGTAGATATTAAAGAAAAACTTGTTTCTGATGTTTATTCATCTTTTTCTCTAATAAGTATGTATTATTCATTGTCAGGAACTATGCTGAGTCTTGGGAGTCCAACAGTGAGCCACAAAGATAAGGTTCTTATTCTCACCAATCACACACATTTTTATATATTGTTTTGAAATTATTTCATAGTCACTTCATGTGTGTGTAATAAATCCTCCAATGAATTTAGAATGGTTGTAGTCTCTACTTTAAGAATTCTAGGTGATATTTCCTTTGATAAATTCTTAAGCCCATGCAGTTGATTTCCATTCTCTGCCAGGCCACATGAGCTCACCACTCATGCTCTGGAGGCTAGAACAAGGAGACAGATTTTATCTCAATGGAGGGCTTAGGACTCCTCGTAATACCTATTTTGAAAACCACAATTGATCTCTCTTGTGTGTCCTAGCTTGTCCACAGCTCTCCTCTATCCTGCCCAGGAAGGTCCCCTTAACAGTCCTGCCACACTTCAACCAGCATTAGAGACCAGTGCCCACAGGGCTCACTCCAACTCAAAGGATGTCTTCTTTCATCTCTGTATGTCCAAACTCTTTTCATTCTTCAGAGTCTATCCCATACCCATGCCCACCTCTGATGAACTCTCCTTGACTTCTATATATTCCTAACGTTTGCTCCACATATTTTGATAAACCATCTGTCTTTTATTCTATAAATATTAAAGAGGCTTATGCCTCATTTTGCCAAGAACAGCCTAAGCTCCTTGAGATCAGTGCCTGGATCATAGTATCTTTTATGTCCAGATAATACATAGCACAAGGTTGAGTTCATATATTAAATTAAATTTAGTCTGGGAAAAGAAATGACAACTTAAAACTGTCCCTCAAGGGGGAATGCAGATCTGTGTTCCAAAGAGATAAACCCGAAGGCTTTATCATCGGTTCTGTGCTCACCTTGGCCTGCATTTCACACAGGTGGGCCATGAGCTCATCCAACTGAGCAGCTGCTGAGGTTTTGGAATGTGGCAGTGATTCCTTTGGCTCTTGAATGTCACTATAGGGAGAAAACAAACAAACAAATAATCATACTAATACATCAAAACTCAAATAAACGTAAGCCACACATAAAGTACTAGAAAATGTTATTTTAGCTATTAAATGCTTAGATGTCAGTAAAACTAGAGACCGGGAGTATTTTAAAATACATATAGGTGCCAAACTAAAAATGTGCCCCCTTGTTCCCGCTCTGCTCATCTCAAAAAGTGATTATTGTTTTCAAGTGCATGAAGAAAAGCACTGAATGTATAACTGGCAGGCCATTCGCCCACAACAGCAATGTGCAAAGCAGGCTCTGAAAAGTGCTTTAAGATCTTGGCCCAAATGTTTGTTTTTATTTTAATAGCATTCTTTTACAACTTTAAAGTATTATATCTTCTCTCAGTTACTGTCAGGTGAGAGACAACAAATAAATGAGAAACTAGAATAGGCATTCACCCATAAATTGAGGTCTGTGGGCCAAATTCAGCCATGCCCATTCATACTGTCTATAGCTGTTTTCCTACAGAGTTGGGCAGCTGTGGCAGAGAGTATGGTCCACAAACCTAAAATATTTACTACTTTCCCTTTTCAGAAAAGTTTGCAGACTCCTGATAGTTTAGATAATGTGCATAATATTGATTTGATTATAAATTGTTAATAAATAAAAAATTGAACCAAAGACACAGAACACCGTCTATTAAAATACTTGTACAATTCAGCCAGCCACATGGCTTAGTGGTTGAGCCTTGACTTAAGGACCAGGAGGTCATGGTTCAATTCCTGGTCAGGCCATATGGCAGGTTTGCGGGCTGGATCCCTACCTAGTAGGAGGGCGTGCATGAAGCAGCTTATCAATGAAAGTCTCTCATCATTGATATTTTACTCTCTTTTTCTCTCTCCCTTCCTCTCTAAAATCAATAAAAATATCTTTTAAAAAATACTTGCATAATTGTATGAAAGAGAGAAAGAAAAAGAGAGAGGGAGAGAGAGGAAAAAGAAGAAGGAGGAGGAGAAGAAAAGAAAGAGAAAAAAAAGAGATAAGATAAAGGAAATGTGTTTAAAAATAACATGGCTAGCCCTAACCAATTTGGCTCGGTGGATAGAGTGTTGGCCTGCAGACTGAAAAATCCCAGGTTAGATTCCGGTCAAGAGTATGTACCTTGGTAGCAGACACATCCCCAGATGTTTCTCTCATCTATGTTCCTAACTCTCTATCCTTCTCCCTTCCTCTCTGTAAAAAAAATCAATAAAATATATTTTAAAAAAATAAAAATAACATGTCTAGGTAGTGTTTATAATAGTCATACAAGGATGGTTGCACATTACTAAATGGATTAATGTAATCCTATATAATAAAAGGGTAATATGCAAATCAACTGAACTGCCGAACAGCTGAGCGACATCCATACAAACGAACCCCACCCATGCACGAATTCCTGCACTTGGCTCTAGTTTGTTTATAAGAATCCAGACATATCAAGGGAGAGGCTTCATTGTGTAGGACATTTTCCCCCCATCCTTTCCTCTGCAATATTTTTATGAATTGTTCCTCCCTCTTCTTACCAAAATTATTTCTGTGCACATAAAAGATACAATTTCTAAATTTTTGGTCACAAAGCTACTGATATATCACTATATTAGAAATAGCATTGCAGTGCTATATTCATAACTGGAATTGACTATGCTTTCTAGGTCCAATGCAATGTTTACTTCATTTAAGCAAACCAGAGGAAATGGTGAACACAGAATGCAAGAATCTAGATTCTGAATCTCATGCTCTGTCTGTACATGCCAGCCCTGTTTCCTCTGAATGTACCAGCCTCAGAGATTTGTATCACTCTATTACATATTTACTAGGTCACCTGGATTTTGTCTCATTCTCCCATAAAGATCTACACAGCATGTATTATTCAGTAATGGAAAGTATGTCCATCAAGGTCCAATCAGGAAAATACAGATATTGGGAGTCAGAAGAAGGAATTAATCCAGAAATTTGATTACATGGATGATGGGAGAGCTACAAAAGCAAACAGAAGACATTGAGGGAACTCAGAGATTAGTCACGGCAAGAAGTAATTAGGCTGAAGCGACAAAGCAAATAAGCAAAGTGATCAGAGCTCAGGGACCCGGGTCAATAGACATATGCTGGAAGCATAGCAGACCTGTTTTGCTCCATCTGAAGCCATAAAGAATGGAGATTGTGGACAGATATTGGGGGAGAAATGCTTTAAATTTTCGTGCCTTTCACCCTCCAGTCTCTCCACAGTGCCTCCTGTTGGTTGAAGCCTGGAACCTGCAAAACCCAGCCCTCTGGGGTCAGCTTCTCTGGAATACCAGCAAAGCCAAGAGAAGAGAGAAGGATGGGCCTGATGAGAAATCTACTCATATTAGTGACGGGACATTGATAAGTTAGTATGATGTGCCACCAATTGATTGCAGTGCTAGACAGACAGGAAATGGTTGTTTGGACTGGTTTTTATGTTATACTAGAGGCATGGGGGGAGGGGGGGAATGATGTCCCTCAGCCCAGCCTGTGCCCTCTCGCAATGTGGAACCCCCTGGGGGATGTCCAACAACCAGCAGTCGGATATCCCTCTTGCAATCTGGGACACTGCATGTGCCGTACAGGTGAAAGGTATCTTGCTGTTGTATAGGCAGCTACATTTTTTGCCCTGATTATAAAAAGTAGTACATAACATGATCCTTCTGAAGCAGTAGTACCATTTCCCCTATCTTATGGGTGGAAAAACTGAAGCAGAGAGAAGTTAAGTAATTGGCTTTGTCACACAGTTATAAGTGTTAGAATCAGGGCTGACCACAAAATATGTAAGCCAGAGTCCATGCATTGTCATCACTGCATCATCCTGTTTTTTCAGTGTTAGAGTAGCCTTGCCAGGTTTTAATTTTTAAACCTAAGAGACTCTTCCCAATATATAGGGTAGGGTCTCTAAGCCTGGCCAGTAATCAGAGCTGATTTGTGGGGCGACTGGTGGGTGGGGCAATTCTCCCCTCTCCCCACTCTTGCTGGCACCCTCCTAGGCTGGCAGACTGGTTCCACCTGCCAGCAGGCCCCATCTCCCATTGCTGGTCTGCCCCCTGGTGGTCAGTGTGCGTCACAGTTACCAGTCATTAGCCATTCAGTTTATTACATAGGACTAGAGGCCTGGTGCATGAAATTTGTACACTCAGAGGAGGGGGGTCCCTCAGCCTGGCTTGCACCCTCTCACATTCTAGGAGCCATCAGTCAGTCATTCTTAGCACTGCTGCGGAGGCTGGAGAGGCTCCCACCACCACTGCTGCCCTAGTCAGCCATGAGCCCAGCTTCTGGCTGAGCGGTACTCCCCCTGTAGGAGCACATTGACCACCACGAGACAGCTCCTGCATTGAGCATCTGCCCCCTGGTGGTCAGTGCATGTCATAACGACTAGTCATTCTGCTGTTTGGTAGATTTACATATTAACATTTTATTATATAGGATAATGTCTTATTATGGGCAAGGCTTCTAATTCAATTTTTTTTTTTTTTAGGTAGTTAAAGAGAGGGGCAGAATTTTCACTTGAGCCTGTAGCTAAAATTGCCTTAGCTCAAAAAAATATGCATACCACTGAGACACATCTTATCTCTTTAGTGAAAGGAATCTTTTGTTATGTTACAATGACTAACTTTATCTCATGAGTTGTATTTTGGCTTCAAGCCTGTATCCAGTATTCATGCAGCAACTTCAGCTCTTCTGTTCAATATTTACCTGGCATATCTTTTATTTTCTCTAAATCATTCTAGATTTTTATGTATTAGATAGGAATAGCTCATGGACTCAGACAATAGTCTGGCGAAGGCCTGGAAGGGGCGGATGCAGGGTGGAGGAGATCAATGGAAAAAAACACACAAACTAAAACAAAGGGACATCTGTAATACTTTAACAATAAAGATACATTTCAAATAAAGGAAAATATCTTAGTTGGAAAGTTTTATGTGAAATAATATAAGTAATTGTTCTACACTGTGCTTTATATTCTCAACTCCTCTCAAAGAGATATTAATTGACCCTATGTTCAATGACTGCAGGACTGACATCTGCCATCCCAACCCAGCACTGACTCCCACGGAGTCAGTCCGGGCCTGATCGCAGCCCCTGTGGCAGTCAGTGCTGGGTTGCTGAGGCACCCACAGCGACCCAGCACTGACTTCCGGTGTTCAGTGGAGCCTTTGGTTGTTTTGGATGTTATGGACTCTGGCTATATATATATATATATATATATATATATATATATATATTATACAATATGTTCATTAATGTTTGTATCTAAGTCTTGGTTTCCTGGATTTAAAACTCCAAAATTTACTGTGAAACTATTATGTACCAATATATTTGATATTGTTGTTTTGCTTTGTTTGCTTTTTTACAAGGGGGTTTGCCCACTGGAACTGCAACACACTGGCAATTGTATTAATAAATTGGCCTCCCTCCTATCACAATAGAAAGTGTCCTCAAGTGGGAAGCTATAAAAAGACTTTTTGATAGAATAGGTCCTTTCCTTATTTTAACATCATGTACTATTGGCTGCAATTCTGAAACCAAATAAGGTGTGGCACAGTATTCTTTACCAAGCATGAGCCTTTACTACCTACATTTTAAGGCTTTTATTTTGTTTTCCAGACATTGTCTGACTTTTTAAATTTCAAGCTATAACTGAAGAAAAATGGTGGGTTTTGTTTTTGTTTTTGTTTTCATAGACTGCCAATTCTGCTTTGGACAGTAGAAAATATTTAGTAAATGAATCTGTTCAAATCTGTAACTTTTTGTAAAAAGGCAATCTCTCCACCCACTAAATAAATTTTGAGCAAATATGAAAAGAGGTCTATATTCATTTGTCTGCTATGGAGAGCCAATTTCTTAGTTCAACTCTGAAACTAGCTCTGACTTTCAAAAAAAATCCTCACCCAAAGATATTTTCCCATTGATTTTTAGAGAGAATGGAAGAGAGGGAAAGAGACAGAGAGAAACATTGATGTTAGAGACACATTGATTGGATTGGTTGCCTCCTGCACACGCTAGGGATCAAATTTGCAACCTAGGTCGTGATTAGAATTGAACTCAGGGCCCTTCAGTCCACAAGCCAATGCTCTATCTACTGAGCCAAACCAGGCCTAGCTCTGATTTTATTAATGTCTTGCTGAAATTTTATTTGTTGATTTTTCTTCTGTGATCTGGAATAGCTGGGCCAAAGCATCTGTGATGATTAGAACTATTTGCATTTTTTCAGGTGGTGAAGGAAACAGCAGAAACCATTCCACTTTTGCTCAAAAACTATGGAAAGAAAAGGAGAGTAGTAGGAGTTCCAAGCAAAGCATTGTCAAAACACAGATTGATAACAATTATCTAATAACTTTGCTCAATAATTTAATATTTAAAAAATACCTGTAGGCATGGGGCTCCTTGATATTAGTAGTATACACGAGCTGCACCTAAGACAGAGTTATAGAATGGATTTCTGTTAGTGAAATGTTGGTGCTTATCTATAGCCAGAATTTAGCTTCTAAAGGAGACTGATGATTAGTATGTCTCTGAGATATACTTTTAGAAGGCAGAGGAATACCAGCCATCCCACAGAGAAAGGCCAGATTCTAAGTAGAATAGCTGCCATGTAAATAAATAGTGCCCTTCTCCCTCGCCTAAAAGCACTTAAGTAGAGAAGTTCTCAGACAAAAATAATAAGACAACAAAATAAACAAAGCCCCTTTGTAGACCATAACATGAGTAAAATTAGCATACCAAAAGAAACAACGTGTGACTCTAAAAGGTAGTTGGCTAACAGCCCATTTATTTGTTGAACAAATATTTATTGAGAGCCTGTCATATGTCAGGGCTGGAGATGTAGCCATCAAAAAACAAAGCAACAAAAAATAAATAAACAGCCGAAACTGGTTTTGTTCAGTGGATAGAGCATCAGCCTGCGGACTGAAAGGTCCTGGGTTTGATTCCAGAAAAGGGCATGTACCTTGGTTGTGGGCACATCCCCAGTAGGGGGTGTGCAAGAGGCAGCTGATAGATGATTCTCTCTCATCGATGTTTCTAACTCTCTATCCCTCTCTCTTCCTCTCAGTAAAAATCAATAAAAAATCTTTTAAAAATAAATAAACAAATAAGTAAATAAACAAAAATTGTCTACCCTTGATTTAATTGTGAGAAACAAATTAATATCTAAAAATAAATTAATGTAATATATAATATGTAATATCAATTGGGAGTGGGAGATAGGAAATACAGAATAAATGACAATTATAAATATATTCATCACCATAAAAAAGAATTAAATCTTACTGTTTACAACAACACAGATGGACCTAGAGAATAATTTGCTAAGTGAAATAAGTCAGACAGAGGAAGACAAATACCATATGATTTTACTCAAATGTGGAATTTAAAAAACAAAATAAACAGCCGAAACCGGTTTGGCTCAGTGGATAGAGCGTCAGTCTGCGGACTGAAGGGTCCCGGGTTCGATTCCGGTCGGGGGCATGTACCTTGGTTGCAGGCACATCCCCAGTGGGGGGTGTGCAGGAGGCAGCTGATCGATGATTCTCTCTCATCGATGTTTCTAACTCTCTATCCCTCTCTCTTTCTCTCTGTAAAAAAAACAATAAAAATATATTAAAAAATAAATCTTAAAAAAAATAAAAATAAATAAACAAACAAAACAAAAACAGACCCACAGATATATAGAACAAACTGATGTTTGCCAGATGGGAGGAGTGCTAAGGGGATGTATAAAAAAGGTGAAGAGCTTAAGAAATACAATTGGACTAAATACCATAAATATCCTAGAAGAAAACATAGGCGATAAAATCTCTAACATTTCGCTTACTAATATTTTTTTCTGATCTATCTCCCCAGGCAAGGGAAACAAAAGAAAAATTAAATTGGATGACATCAAATTAAAAAATGTTTGTACAGCAAAGGAAATCATCAACAAAATGATAAAAACACCATTGAATGGAAGAATGTATTAGCCAATGGTACATCTAATAAAGGTGTTAATATTCAAAATTGATAAACAACATATATAACTCAACAAAAAAACAAACAATCCAATTTAAAAATGGGCAATGGACTGAATAGATATCTCTCCAACAAGGACACATAGATGGCCAATAGATATATGAAAAGATGCTCAATGGCACTAATTATCAGAAAAATGCAAATTAAAACCACAATGAGGTATCACCTCACATCTGTCAGAATGACTATCATCAATAAATCAACAAACAAGAAGTTTTGATGAGGACATAGAGAAAAAAGGAAACCCTCTGGGAATGCAGATTAGTTTAGCCAGTGTAGAAAACAGAATAAAAGTTCCTCAAAAAATTCAAAATGAAACTGCCTTATGACCCAATGATTTCACATTGAGTATATTTCTTAAGAAATCCAAACCACTAATTCAAAAGAATATATGTACTCCTATGTTTATTGCAGCATTATTTGTACCTAAAGGCCCAGTGCACAGAATTTGTGCATGGGGAAGTATGTCCCTTAGCCCAGCCTGCACTCTCTCCAATCTGAGACCCATCCCTTGGGGGATGTCTGGTGGGATAGGGCCTAAACGGGCAGTCAGACATCCCTCTGACAATCCAGGACTGCTGGCTCCCAACCACTTGCCTGCTTGCCTGCATGATTGCCCCTAACCACTTCTTCCTGTTAGCCTGATCACCTCCTAACCACTCCTCTGCCAGCCCAATTTCCCCTAACTGCCCTCCCCTGCTGGCCTGATTGCCCCCAACTGCCCTACCCTGCAGGCCTGGTCCCTCCCAACTGCCCTTCCCTGCAGACCTGATAACCCCCAATTGACCTCTCTTGAAGACCAAGTCCTTCCCAAGTGCCCTCCCCTGCTGGCCATCTTGTGTCCACATGGGGGCGGCCATCTTGTGTGTTGCATTGATTGTCAATTTGCATATTATCTCTTTATCATATAGGATAGCCCATCAATAGCTGAGTGGATAAAAATGTGGTGTTACATTGCCGAAGCCGGTTTGGCTCAGTGGTAGAGTGTCGGTCTGCGGACTGAAGGGTCCTAGGTTTGATTCCGGTCAAGGGCATGTACATTGGTTGCGGGCACATCCCCAGTAGGGGGTGTGCAAGAGGCAGCTGGTCAATGTTTCTCTCTCATCGACATTTCTAGCTCTCTATCTCTCTCCCTTCCTCTCTGTGAAAAATCAATAAAATATATTTTTTAAAAATGTGGTGTTACATATACACAATGGAATATTACTTGGCCAGCATGAATGGACTTAAAGGGTATTATGCTAAGTGAAATAAATTAGTTAGAGAAAGACAAATACCATATGATTTCACTTATATGTGGAATTGAAAGAACAAAAGAGGTGAACAAGTAATATAGAAACAGACTGATAAATACAGAGAACAGACTGATGGTTGCCAAAAGCAAGGGGTGTTGGGGGACTGGGTGAAAAAGGTGAAAAGATTGAGAAGTACAGATTGCTAGTTAGAAAATAGCCATGTGGATGTAAAGTCCAGCATAGAAAATATAGTCAATAATATTGTAATAACTATATGTGGTGCTAGGTGGGTACTGGAAATATCAGGGGGAACACTTTGTAAAGTATATGATTGTCTAACCACTATGCTGTACACCCTAAAGTAACACAAAATAATATTGAATATAAACTGTAATTGAAAAAAATTAAAAACCTAAAAGAAAAAGAAATACAAATTGAAAGAACAAAATAGTCATGGAGATGTAAAATACAGCATAAGGAATACAGTCAATACTATAGTAATAACAATATATAGTGCCAGCTGGATACTTAGTGGGGGGGATCACTTCAAAAGTTATAAAATTGTCTAACCACTATGCTGTATACCCGAAACTAATATAATATTGAATGTCAACTATAACTGAAATTTTTAAAAAATAAATAAATAAATTGATCTGGAAAGGATTAATTGAGAAGGGGACTCTTGTGCCAGGACTGATAGGAGAAGGTGAGAAAAGTTTGAAGATATCAGGAGTAACCTGGTCCAGGTAGAAGGAACATCAGGGAGAGCACCTTTAAGTTATCATAGAGGGATTTTCTTCTCTTTCTTGGATATATACGATGGTCCTTTCACATTATTTTGTGTAAGAAACAATTCATATTCAGAAAGCGCTCAAACATCTGCATTCAAGGCACTCCAATAAATGCAAAGTTACCTGGAAGGGGCTTGTGTCCTGAACAGAAGAGATGTCTGAAGTCTCAGCACTCTCTTTTCTGGAAATCTGATCCTTGGGAAGAGGAGTGGGGCTGGAGTATTCACCAGTGTCCTCAAGGGTGGAGCGTTCCAATTCCTCCAATAAAGCATCTATATCATAACACAAAAAGGAATCATAGTATAGAATATGGAAGTCTTCTGGAATAATTTCCCTCTTATATAGCTCCCACTGTGCCCCATTCATCTCCTTCTTCTCTTAGGTTAAGGCTATTTTCCTTAAAACATCTTCCCCTTACTCCTTATTTTACTTCTAGAATGTGGTCTATTCTACTAAAAGATGTTTAAAACCTCCATATCCTGTGACCTATTTCTTATTTCCTGTGGTTGTATTCAATTTCATAGTCGCACTCTATAATTTGGCTTATTTTATTGCAGGGTATTAATTTTTGTCATTTATTTGGAGTGAATCACTCATAAAGATTCCCAGTTAGAAAAAAAAAGTAAATTCTACATGTTTTTCCTATCAGAAAAATATAAGCAATTATATTACAGTTTTTAAAAATATACCAGGATGGTAACATTTATTCTTAACCTTGATGTTATTTTTTTTCTTATATCCCAAGAACATAATCAAATTCTCAAAGGAGAGTATAAGTATTCTGTCCTTTTAGGGTATGGGGAGAAAAGGAAATTGGGGGGAGGGGGGAAAAACACACAGTTATAAAATCAAGCAAGATTTTACAGTCCAAATAGTTAATTGTTTCTCTTATATCAATATTTTCTTAAGAACAAACAATGGACTCTGACTTTAAGTATTACAATATTACCTTTCTGTTATGATGAAATTAATAACAAAGAATAAAAATTAAGGATTATATATTTAATTTAGTTATCTTTGAAGCAGATGATATTATTGTGCTCATTTTGTAGTTCAAGAAATTACCAAATAAATTGTTTGAGTTCACACTGTTACTGAGTTCAGACCTGGCTGTCTGATCCTGGGCTATCTGATCCCCAACCCCTGCACTAACTTCAAGTGAGAAATTCCAGACCCCATTCTCACATGGATTCTCTGGGTCATCTGAGCATGACATGTTCTTCTCTGAAGCGATTTCTTCATCTACATGATTAAGCAATTATAGCACAATCATACTTTTCAAACTGTGGATCAAACCAAAGTACAACTAGTGATTTCCTTACCACAGGTTGTACTTTTAAAAAGTTTCCAAAACACTGGATTGTATTGTTTCTAAGTATATGCTCACCTTGGAAGTCCTCAGATGAAGAAAATGAACTTCACACATTATGAAAAAAAAAAGAGTTTCATTTATTTCAGATGTCAGGGGGATGAATACTTCTTGATAGCATAAGAAAAGATCTAATCATTTCTTAAAAATGAAACCTATAGATCTTTCATATGTGAAACATAAAATTGAAAGCAATGAGTAAACAAACAAGACAAGCAAACAACAAAAACTCATAGATACAGACAACAGCATGGTGGTTGAGAGAGGGAAAAGGGGGTAGAAGTAGTAAAGGGTAAAGAGGGGACAAATATATAGGAACAGAGGATATTTGACTTTGGCTGGTAAACACACAATGCGATGCACAGATGATGTATTACAGAAGTGTACATTTGAAACTATATAATTTTATTAACTAATGTCACTGCAATAAATTTAATAAAAATCATATATTTCTAAATCATCCATTTCACAAAAAGATTGAATTTATATACCACTTTAGAAATAAGCAAACTGAGCTAAATTCTTCAGGGAAAATTTCCCTTCACAAATAAATTTTAATGAAAAAAAAGATGGAGAGTGAACTAATAGATTAAAGAAGACTTTAGAAACTTATAACTAATTTTAGTATATGAACCTTAACTTAAAATAATCTGAGGGTAAAAGTAAATAAGCAAACAAAAAAGAAACAATCAGGAATATTAAACACTGACTGGAATTTAGTAACATTAAGTAAATACTATTAATTTATTTTAGGTATAATAAGAATATTTGATTATTTATGTTAATAGTTTAGGTGTGATAATGGTATTTCATAATGTTAAGGAATTACTATTAAAGATTTTGTGGGTGTGATAATGGTATTATGGTTATTTGTGTATGTATAGATTTATTTTAGAGAGTATGATAAAATATTTATAGATGAAATTATATAATGTCTGAGATTGCTTTAAAATAATAGTTATTAAAGGAATGGGTGGGTCTATAAATGAAAAAAGATTGACCAAGTCTTGATAGTTTAAACTGGTTGATAAGCACATCAGATTTTATTAAACTATTTTCTTTACTTTTGCATATTCTTAAATTATCTATATTAAAAAGATTTTTTTAAAGAAGAAAAAATAAAACAAAAACTGAGGTAGAAAGAAAAAGCAAAACTTCCTTTCTCACAACTTTACTAGCCAGACTTGAATGCCAAATTTTTGAGTTCCAAATTTTTAGTCTACATCCATCAAGATATTGCCCCTTTCTTTTCTATTTCTAACCTTTTCTCTAACTAGAAGTCATGGGTCCTCTAGGATTAAAAATAAAAAGGCGTCTACAATAAAGATTAGGAGAGAGGGGAAACCCTTTACAAGAGAAACAAATCATACCACTAAGGGTAGAAGGTTACCCTTAGAAGGTCCAGCTCCCTAAAGTTATTGCAACTCTCTTTCTGGGTCAGGAGTTGACAGGCCCTTCTCTTCCTGTTTCCTGAGTGCACGTATCACCAACACGCAAAGACCATCTTGCCTTTTGCAGATTCTGTAATTTGAAGATGACTAATTTCAGTATGACAAATATGGGATGACTGGTGGTGGGGATACTAGACTGAAAATCCTACAGTCCTCGGTAGCTCTTCATCTGCAGAAATCAAATAGTCATCAGTATTAACATGAAAAGGTTTGTAAAGCATGGTCTCTTTGGGGGTCTCATTGGGTTGTAGTGATTTCATTCAGAGCCAGAGTCTGCTCTTGGTTTCCCTTTATCTAGTATCCCCATGTAAGAAGGACGCAAAGAGGAAATACAGGCCTACCTGTGCCGACCTGCCCCCCATGCTACCTCTCTCAAGCAGGAAGCTTTCTCTACCGTTTTTCCTGCTCAAGAAATGCAAAGCTGTGCAAATCTATTTATTTCGTTTTTTTGTTACCAGGCTTACTCTGTCAGCCAAAACATCTGAACCAACATGTTTCTAAAATAGGAGAGAATACCTTGTAGCTTAATCCGTTTTGGTGTCAGGTGCTCCTGAGAGTGACATTGAACTAGTTATTTTGCTTTTATTAGTTTTCTCATTTAAAAAAAATGTGGATAATACTCATTTTAGCGGATTGCTTCAGACACTAAAATGGTTAACATATGTAAAAATGTCTAGTTTAAGTGACCACAAAAAGTATTACTTGCTTTTTTAATTACCTGCATGAAGGCCATTAGGTATCCCTAACATAAAAAAGCAGAGCTGAACTCTATTTCTAGGGGAACTCAGGTAGAAATATAAAATTCCCCAATCCTAACATAAAATAAGAATTTGGATTCTACCCCGTGTCAAAATAGACTTTACCTCCAAATAGTTTAATACATATTTATCAAACACTACCTTTTCCTCTTCCCTCCTGTAATTTGCCTTCCTTCTTCTACTCTTCCAACTCTCAAAGTACACAATAAACAATTTTAAAAAAAGGCAATATGTAAAATACATTTTTGGTCATTGTTTGCACTTTTGACATGCCCCAAATATACCAAAACCCAGGACATTGTAATTAATACAGCTTGGAAATTGGATTAGTGACTCAGTGTGTTACGGTAGTAAGGATGTCGGCAACAAACGTTGGCAAAGGATATGGAATACATTTCCAAGGATGATAAATCTTATGTTACTCTAAAGGCTTGAAATCAGAGATCTCTCTTGAGCAACGTGGCCAATAATTTCACTTCTGTTTTTAATTGCTTTGGAATGCAAGGAGGCATTATACTTGCAGGCCACAGTAATCTGTTCCTTTAGAGTACCTCTGAATAACAAGCTGACCAATAAAAACCCTGGAGTTATTAGTGCTATGCTGTCTTGATTTAATACTAAATCCTAGAACAATTGAAACCACCCTGGCCTTTCTCCAATCTTTGTGAATCCCTCATTCTTGTACAATACATCTGTTTCTTCCCCTCGTAACACTCATTTCTTTCTTTTTCTTCTCAAATCACACCTCTATGATCTTCAGTAGCCCCCCAAAGGGCAAATGCTCATAATAAACTGACTATTTTAATCACAATTCAATCCAAAAGTATTTGTGTGGAGTTTACTCTGTGGTTAGCACCAAACTCTCTGCCTTTCGTGCCTCAGAAACAGTGAACTCCTATTTCCCCAATCATAGTTCCTTGTGCTTTAATTTGGTGAGGTCAGGAGAGAAGTGAAAATAAAATCTTTCTGCACTGCCCTCCATCTGGCTAAGTAGTACACCCCACTACACATGAAGATGGCAGCCAGGGCTTTATTCTCTCAGAGTTTCTCTACCAGGAAGCTCCTCACTCACCCAACTCTTCCATGGTCACACACCCAAGATGCTCTGGTGCCACAGGTTGTGAGGAACTTCTTTGGTCTGTGCTGAAGAGAAGGACAGCAAAGGAACTGAACGAGACAGCGTGAAGCAGCCTCTATAACCCTTTTTGGTTCCTCTATCTGCTTAGCACTTCCTCTCTTTTGATTTGGTGAGGGTTTTTTTTCTTTTTCTTTTTTTATAGGTCAGAGTTTTTAAAATGGGACCTAAAAAGGCAGGTAGTAAAACTTGAATTCTTGTGGTACACTGGCGAGGGCAGTGGTCGGCAAATGGCGGCTTGCGAGCCACATGCGGCTCTTTGGCCCCTTGAGTGTGGATCTTCCACAAAATACCATGTGCCCTAATTAAGTTAATAGCAATGTACCTTTCTATAATAGTTGAAGTTTAAAACATTTGGCTCTCAAAAGAAATTTCAATCGTTGAACTTTTGATATTTGGCTCTGCTGACTAATGAGTTTGCCGACCACTGGGTTGGGGCAATTAAGATTCAAAAGTAATTTTGAAACGTGAGCACCTACTACATGCCAGAATTCATGGGAATGGCAGATTTGCACTTGCGTTTTTTCCCCAATGTAGGTATCACACTACAACTATATGCATCAGGAAACTTTCCCCCACCTTACCCCACGTGAAGCTGGGGAACGTGTAGGCATAGTTTGTTTCATAGGCAGCACCCGATTCATTTTGCTATCTTTATTTAATTATCCAGACATTTTGCTTACCTAATTTCCTGAATAGATTGTAAGCCTATTGAATTCAGAAGTGTATTCACTTTTAGATTTTCAGGACTTGGTTTATTTCAAGGATCCACAATGCAAACAACCAAAGGAGTCATGAAGAATGAGACTGGACTGTTTAAGACACAAGGTGCTAAGTTGCAAATATCTTAATTAAGCATAATTCCTGCCTACTTACATTGCTTTACAGCAGTTTTCTGAACAGTGACGCTGAAATTAACTTTTACCTTTTTTTAAACCACCGGTTTTATTCACCTTGAACAAAATAGAACATTTACAAAGGCCTATTACGGGAAGAACTATAATTATTATGGCCTGGTGAAATAGGTATTACTCCTATTTTTACCAGTGGAGATTCAAGTAACAGTAACTTGCTAAAGTAGTAGTGTTAATAGGTAGCTTTTCTACCTAATGTAATCTATATTTAATTTCAAGGCCTGTGAACTTTCCTCTGTAACACAGTGGTCCTTCTGTTTTTCAGATGATCTAAAGGAATCATTCACTGTCCATTCCCTGGAGTCGCTGAAAATTTTTTTATTTTTTTTATTTTTTTTTTAAGATTCCCACTCTGCATTACTTTGAGCAGCCATTGGATGTCAGTGCTGTTCCAAAAGCCTGCATACCTTAAAAATGGATTTGCAAAAATTCCCATCCATCTATGCCAGTTTTTACAACTGAAATACCATTAGCCCCACGAAAGTGCAAAATGCTCATTAGAAAATAGAAAGCATTTGCCAAATCTGAAGTAATAGCTGAGCCAAAGAACTGGAAGGAAAATTGCACGTCAGCACTTGGCTTGCATATATTGTACTGTGTCTGCAGCTGTAATTGAATGATTAATGTGAAATTTAAATTGGATTCCCCAGATCTTGTTTCCATCCGCTTTCTTTAGGCTTTTTACCCCCGGATGCTTTATTTTCCAGTGGTAAGAAAGTGGTCCTGCAAATCGCCCTTGGATATAAATGGATGAAAGGAAGAAAGGAATATGAGAGGGCCACTCCCATCATTTTGTAGATAAGCAAATGGAAACTCCCGTTTATGGGATTAGGACAATTTAATTGCACATGTTATTGGGCAGAAAAGAAATTCTGATAAAGGGGCTAATCTGACTGTGCTTCCTGCGCAGCAGAAACACTTAAAAACCGCAGAAGCAGTTGGCTTCAGAGTAGGGAGCCTGAGCGAGGCCTTCAAGCTTCTCCGGGTTGGTGACAGGACACGCTACCAACTTCCCTCCAGTCCAGTGGCCACAGCCAAGTGAAGCAGTGGTCGTAATTCCTAGTAGAAACGCAACTCCAGAGATTTCCACAAACTTTTATTAGTAATCAAATAACTGATGGGTAAGCCCCCGAGGATCTGGCAGAACCAGATTCAGTCCCTGACCTCCAGGGGCTTACAGGTTGGTGGGTCAGACACAGGATGACAAGACGAATATTGCCGACATGAACGCGGGCTGGAGAAGCCATCTAACCAAAACCAAGGTTAAAAGCTATTACGTGACTCCCCTAGAAATGCTTCCCCAACTCCAAGAAAACAAGCAGGGAAAACATTCCCAGGAAATCCTGGCAGGTAACTGGCTCAAAATTTCCGCCAGGATCTGCTTAGGCGTCGCGCTTTAACCCGGAAACACTGCCTCCCAGGAAAAGTGCACTTGGACAGTGGAAATACTACTTTTCCCATCCTGCATCAGTCAAAAACTCCCGGCAACCATTTCGCCTTTGGTTTCCTACCTCCTCCGCCCTCCCCATAGGCTTAGTAGGACTACAACTCCCAGAATGCGTTTGAGCAAGTTGGCTATGCGCATGCGTCGAAGAGGCGGCTCCTCCAGGCCCTCACGACCCCGCCTCTGTTCTATCGCCGCCATTTTTTCAGAGACTTTCATCCGGCAGCGACGGGGCTTTTTTTCTTAAAGGAGAAGCGACAGCTCAAAAAAATTTCCCCCTTCTCCCTCAGGACTTGGCAACGCTGGGGACAGAAAGGCCACATACAGGAAAGTGGGGTCTGGGTGGAGGTACAAGAACGGAGTAGAAGAAGTGGCTTTAAGGAAGGATAGGAAGAGCCCTTGTGGCCTTAGCGGATCCTTAGGGAGGCAGGTGCGCGCGCAGCTACTCCTGGGAGCGCGCCAGGCGGGGTAAGAGGTGCTTTTTTTCCCCGCCACCAACCTCTTCGCGAAACCGGCCCCTCCCACTACCCCTAGAGCGCGTGGAACTCCGGAGAGAGTGAAAGGTCACTGGGATTGTCACAGGACGCGGCCGTTTAACGGTGAGAACGGGTGCGCGGGGAAGGAAACCTCGCGCGCTCCCTTGGAGCTGTCCCCTGATTGGTTGGAGGAAGGAGTGGGGGAGGGAACCCGGTACGTCGCTGCGTGAGAGGGGGCGGGGCGAAGAAGCCATTCTTCCTCTCCGATTGGCTCGCGGAGCGTTTTGTCGGGCGCGCGCGCGGCGCCAGGGGTAGCGGGCCTTGAGTGGCAGGGGGCGGGGGGTACTCTCTGAGCCGGGCGGAGGGGTGGGGGGGGGAGAGAGGAGCGCAGAGTGAGAGAGTGCAGGACGCTCCAGGAGGCAGGGGGCGGGGGGGCGAGCAGCGCCGCGGCCACCGCCGCCTCCGCCTCCACCGCCCGGGACGAGGGGGTGGGGGACGGGCGAGCCCCGATGCCGGGGGAGACAGAAGAGCCGAGACCCCCGGAGCTGCAGGACCAGGAAGGGGGAGAGGCGGTGGTGGCCGAGGCGGCTCCAGAAGAGCTCCAACAACATCCCCTGGAGGTGGAGGTGGAGGCGGAGGCGGCGGCGCCTGCGGGGACCACTAGCAGCCGCGTGCTGAGGGGAGGACGGGACCGGGGCCGGGCCGCTGCGGCTGCGGCGGCGGCCGCCGCTGCCGCCGCCGCCGCTGTGTCCCGTCGGAGGAAGGCCGAGTATCCCCGCCGGCGGAGGAGCAGCCCCAGCGCCAGGCCCCCGGACGCCACCGGGCTGCAGTCCCACCAGGCCGCGAAGCCCGCGTCTCCAGCTCAGGGCAAGAAGAGTCCGCGACTCCTGTGAGTAACGCCGTCTTCCAGGCGGCGAGGTAGACCCCCCTGTGTCCGCACGCTCCCCTCTCGGCTCCCGTAGCGCCCACTCCACGTGACGTCCTGCCCGCTCTGCCCCCTGCCGGCGCGCCCGGCAGATGTCACTCCGCTTCCCTGGCGGCTGTCTTACATTCCTCGTTGTTCCCGCGTCCGCCCGGCCACCTCCCCGCTCCGTGAAATCGTTCTTTGTAGCCTATCCCTCTTCCACCCCCTCGTGACTCACCCGTTCCCTGCCGTCGCAGGCTTATCCCGCACTCTGGCATCTGCATCCCTTTGTCAGCCTATCGCTTTCCCTCCTTGCGCGGCTCGCCAGTATTACATCACTTCCCCCATTAGGAAACGCACAGCACTATCTTGCCTTCTAAAGCGGGTCGATCCCCCCCCCGCCCCACCCCCCCACACACACACTCCCCTTCACTTTAATTATCTTAGGAGCCGGTTGAACTAGTAGCTCGCTATGGAGCTTTTTTTCTCACTACTAAGTTTTCACATTACTTTGTACACGTTTTGGAAATCTGGTGCTTACTAGCAGGAAAAAAAAGAAAAAGTGACTTTGCCAGTTTTGTTAAGTGTAGTCTTTCATTTAGCAAACTTAAATGGGTAATCTTTTTTTTTTTTTTGCCAAGTAACGTTTTATTTATTTATTTATTTATTTATTTATTTTTGCATACGTTTTAATGTAGGAACTTCATCTTTAAAAAGGAGACTAACCTAAAAGGAATTCCTTTATTTCCAAGAGATAATAGAGGAACCAGGAACACAAATATTTAAAAGCTGTTTATTAAAATAATCTTCCTGTGTTGCAAATGCTGAAGCACACATTCGTAAATTCTAGAAGTTAATCACACTAGCCATCGAATTCGTGACTGATAACATCATTTGTGCCTTTTGATTTTCAAGTGAAAAAAGTTGGTAAAAGCAGGGGTTAGTTGAAGAGTGGAAGGAATCAGTTTTAAATCCCCCACTTTTCTGACAGTGTGGCAAGATGTGGTTTATACCAGACCCAGTTGATTTAAAACCACACCTGTTCCAAAATAAGAGTTGTTATTATGAGCCTTATTTGGATCTCAGTTTCTTGCGCAAATTTCTTAAACAGCCTGTGCCTCGTTTTCCTCACCTATAGGATATGTTAATCCCTATGAGATTAGTTTATGAGAATTAAATGCAGCATGTGTAACACTTAGCACAGCTATTTTCAACCTTTTTTATATCTCATGGTACACGTAAGTTAAATACTAAAATATAGCACACCAATAATATATTTTTTGCCAATTTGGCCAAATAGGTATAATTTTGATTCACATCGGACAACTATTGTTGGCTGTTGTCATTATTTTATTTAATAATCTAAGGGAAAAAGAGGTCAGTGCCTCTGACTAGTCTGGTATTGCATGTTTTAAAAATTCTTGCTGAATATGGGTTGAAAATCACTGACAGCACAAAGTCTGTTACATAGTAAATATTTATTAAAAGCTATTGTTTTTAATAGTGATGGTATGAAAAAGGTATTAAGTGTGTAGGGGTGTATTTTCATGTAAAATTAAACTTTTTTCTTTTTTTTCCTATTACCATACATAGGAAGGTTAATAACTTAAAATGTTTTTTAACATCCCCTTTTATTCTCACCTACCCATTTGAGAGTGCAATATACCTATCTCCTTGATACCCTTCCCTTCCTTCCGTTTCAACAGTTTTGCTTACAGAAATGATCTCTTAAGTTTAAGATAATTGTAGCTATAGTGGTGGTAGCTTTACCGTGAAAGTTTATATTTTCCCTGATTCTTGACCAAAAAGTCCCAAAATGAGTCTTGACTTCCACAATATAAATGTTACAACATTCAAACTTGGGTAAGATTATTAAATTAAATCTTTTTTCTCCTTCACAATATTTCTGTGGGGAGGAATAGTCTTAATCCTCTTAGTGTACCTCCCATAATTTTTTTTGTTATACATTTTCAATTTGCTGCAAGCCCTGGAAATCAAAGGAGCTTGGTAAACCTTGATTGAGTGGTAACTAGGCCCGATGGTGTGCTGAGCTAGAGTTTATAAAGATAATGAACTCTAGTCCATTAGACTCAATGGATAGAACATCGACCTGCTGGCTGAAGAGTCCTAGATTTGATTGCTGTCAAGGGCATGTGCCTTCATTGCAGGCTCCATCCCTAGGCTCCATTGTGTGTCTCTCACAATGATGTTTCTCTGTGTCTCTCTCCCTCCCTTTCACTCTCTCTAAAAAAATCAATGGTAAAATATCCTTGGGTGAGGCTTAACAAGGACCTTGTGGGATAAGGGAAGATTCATTGAATAGTGGAGGTGTATGTCTGGATTAGATTTTCAGAGTGATAAAATAAATTTTAAAACTAAGTAGGAAGTTTAATCTTTTAAAAGACATTTCAAGCGGTTTTGAGTTTCAGTTTTTCTAAACCCTGGTCAACTGCCTTCTGACCTTGATTCATCTCTGTTTTCCTAATAACAAGACACGTTTTTTTAAAATGAAGTAAGAAATGTAATCTTTCTCCTAATTTTTTTATTCAAGTCTTTTTTTCCATATCTCAGCATTGCCCCCTATAAACTGGTAAATCATCTGTTTTACCTACATTTCTTTCTCTTGATTGAAGAGACAGTAAAATGTGCAACAGCTGGAAAGGTCAATAAATGCAGCAAATTGGATTGATTGAAACCTCTTTTCCTATTAGAAGGCAAAATAATATACTAGTGGCAGAAGCATTGGACTTAGAAAGTTTCAAGTTCCAGCTTTCTGTACTCACTAAGTGTCCTTGGGCAAGTCACTTAACCTCTTTAAATCTTTTCATCATAATTGACAATTTATGGTTTGTGAAACAAGACTTATAGTTAGATGATAGTTAGGTTAGTTTTCATAAACTTTCTTAAGTTTATAAAAACTCCATTTGCATTGAAATGTTCAGAAGTTAATGAAAAGAGTAGGAAATTTTGTGAAGGGAAATAAGTTTTCAGTAAATGCACTCAAGAGAATAAATAAAAACCTAAAGGCTAAGAAAATATAAACTAAAGTTGAAGAAAGGTTTTATATCAGTACTCTAAAAATTAAGCTCATCATTTTTTGTATTTTAGCTAATAATTCTGCATCACTGTAGAAGAATCTGAAAGAGATAAATATTTGTGCTTTAAGAAAGTGTGCAAGATTGTTCATTTAATTTTTTTTTCTTTCAGATGTATAGAAAAAATAACAACAGACAAAGGTAAGAGTTGGTCATTCTAACCTCTAATGTACATTACACTGATTATTGTCTTACAACCTAATAGAAAATAGAATGAACTTCAGCCTGATTATTTGTTCCCATTTAAAAGTGACTTTTATTTAGTTAAGAATTATTAGAATAGATAAAACCTGCTTAGATAATGGCAGGTTTGTGTAAGTGGAACATTTTGACTTTATTTAGAAACCTAATAATGGAAAAGCAGGTTATTTGATGCCAATTTATTGCAGTTAAGTTTTCGCTCTCTTTCTCTCTCATAAGGTTACAGAAAGAGGAATGATTCACAATATACAGAGTATAGTATATGCAAAATCTTGATGCTGGTAGAGACTCAAATTATAAATGCAGCTTGAAGAATGTGGAAAGAAAGTGTTCTAAGATGTCAGCCTGGTGAATAATTAAATGAGGTCATTAGGTCATTTCTCTTTTAAAGAGTTTTACCAAACCAAGTATGTATATTGAATGTAGTCTTAACTGAATTATGAAGGGAAGCTAATGTTCACTTTTTCTTTAACACTTTTTAAAGAAGACTTCATTCTGGCTATGCAGATTAGGTTATTAAAATCGATTCTACTATATTGGGCCAATTGCTCATTTGTTTCATTTTTTCTAATTTTTAAAGTATTGTTCATTTATTGTATCTGACAGGAATCAACTGAAGTATGACTGGTTAAGTGTCTCTCTCTCTCTCTCTCTCTCTCTCTCTCTCTCTCTCTCTCTTTACCGTGACACACACATACACACATATATGTCCTATATAATAAGTTATATATTCTATATAATAAAAGGCTAATATGCAAATTGTCTCCTTGTCCGAGTGTTCAACCAGGGGACGGGGCCAGCTGGACCCCACCCATGCACGAATGTGTGTGTGTGTGTGTTGATATGTATATACACACATGTGCATGTTTATATACGTGTGTGTGTGTGTAAAGCGTAATATGCTAATTAGAATGGATGGCCTTCTGGACAAAGGGCTGCGAGGGAAGCGAGGGTCCTGGGTGCCTGCCGACAACCTAAGGGGAGCCTGGGTCCCAGGTGCCAGAGGGAAGTCGTTGCTGGCAGCTGACAGGCAGGAAAGCCTTCTCTTGTTCTAATTTTGTGCATCAGGCTCCTAAGATAGATACACACACACACATACACACAAGCACACACATCAGGCTCCTAAGATAGATAGATATACACACACACATAAATACTGAAAGCATTATTTACGAACAGAAAAATCTTTATGAAGAACACATATACTAGTGGCCTGGTGCACAAAATTCGTGAGCAGGGGCGGGTTGTCCCTCAGCCCAGCCTGCACCCTCTCTAATCTGGGACCCCTTGAAGGATGTCCTGCTGGTTTACAGGGATCGGGCCTAAACAGGCAGTTGGACATCCCTCTTACAATTGGGACTGCTGGCTCCTAACTGCTCACCTGCCTTCCTGACTGATTGCCCCTAACCACTCTACCTGCCAGTCTGCTTGCCCCCCCAAATGTGCCCTCCCCCTGCCATTTCACCCCCAACTGCCTGATCACCCCCAACTGCTCCCCCTGCTGGCCCTCCCCTCCCTTCCCCAATGGCCTGCTTGCTTCCAACTGCCCCCGTGCTGGCCTGCTCACTCCAAACTGCCCCCTCCCTTGCTATCCTGATCACCTCCAACTGACCCCCACTGACGGCCTGCTGGCCCCTAACTGGCCCCCCTGCTGGTCTGCTCACCCAACTGCCTCCCTCCCCACCAACCTGATCACCGACGACTGCCATCCCGTCCAGGCCTGATTACCCACAACTGCCCTTTTGGCCTCTAACCGCTTCTACCTCAGTCCTGCCACCATGGCTTTGTCCAGAAGAACATCCAGAAGGTCTCCTGGAAGGTCTCCCAGTCTAATTAGCATATTACCCTTTTATTAGTATAGATATACATATATAAATGTGTGTGTGTGTGTGTGTGTGTGTGTGTGTTTTAAAACCTGTATCTTATGCTGTTTTAGAGAATGACAATGTGTTAGGCCCCAGTAACTTGAAGTGGTGGCTTTTGGTAAATAATTAGATGTCAATGCTCAGGTTTCTCTGAATTTTGGATTCTGAGGCTAGTATTTTCATAGTATACAAGGCAGAAGTATTTTGTATGAGGCAAATTTTTGTGTAGAAAGTTTTATGTGACTATTTTGTCTGGCAAGTTTTTGGTTTTGTTACTGTTACTTGCAAAATAGGTATGTCTGCCAAGAAGGGAAGGGTTTGTGTTCATTTTGGAAGTTTTGTGAAGTGGGGAAATGTAGAGACAACTGGCAATCAAGTATCAGCAGTTCTTACTAAAGCAACAACAACAAAAATCTCATCCTACTTTTATCAGAGCTAAAAGTACTTTGTGTATCTAAAGAATATGTCTAAAAAATTTGGATTGCCTTGAGGATAACTTGGAGAGTGTGGTTGAAATTTTGAACTCTTGTTGAGAGATAAATTAATTGCTCTTTGTGTAGTAGATGTCATAAGCCAGAAATTGGCAACTACTTGAATAGTAGTTGTGCTTTTGTGGAGAGATTAAAACTGCATCATGGGTTATTTATTCAATCACGAAATCAATCCCACTCTAATCCACCACTTAAATGCTCTGGATCTAGAGTTAGAGCTGAGGGTTTGAATTCAAGTTCTGTCTTTTTTGCAAATAATTACAATGCCTAGCATCCAGTGAGCACTCAATAAATAATAGCTGTTAAGTTTGTAAAATTTTGAAGAAATGGATACTCTTTAACTCTCATCTCCATCTCTTAATCTTTAATTTACCTATTACAGTAGCTTTCAACAGCTAGATCAGTGAATAAAGAAATGGAGAGTGTCATAATCACTTTTTACTGCACTGTTTAATATTTAGAATTCACCTCAATTCTTTCCCCTTTCCTTGTCTTTTAACTTCTCAAAAAGTTATTCTGTTACTCCAGAACAATTTTCATATTCAGTCTACTGAATTTTAACTGAAGTAACTCATACTGATTCCAAAGTCTGATGGGTTTTAAAAACTTTGAACAGGTTGCGATATTTTCTAGAGGTACAACCCTTTGTTTTATTAATATTGAAACAACTCTCCTGCACAAATTAAATAATACTCTCCTAAAGTTGGCTTTTTTTCTTATTAGTTAAAAAAAAATTCACTTTTTCTGACTTAATACTTCTGTGAGGTTGGCTAATATTTCAATATAAAGTAATTAGTTATGGGGGAAAAAGTAGAGCTAATTATAGAAATACAGAGTAGTCTGATCAGGTTTCAGAAACTTAAGTATCTGTTACAATAATGTTTATGTTTTAAATGGGTGACAGTACACTAGATAAGCATTTTATTTGCCTATTTCCTTCTTAACCCTTTATCTTAAGATGGCAGAAACCATATTATTTCTCTCAGTTTGAGAATGATCTGTTGGCTACTTATTCCTTCTTTGGATGGCCCATATCTTTAAATCCTTTTCCTGGTTCAGACATCCAGAAGTAGACATAACTCATTTATGATGTATCTGAATTGTCAAATAGGCTTAGAAAGCCTTGATTATCAGCTCATTTCAGTTATAGGACATTATATAAATGAGACTTTCTGTCCCTTACCTATAAGTAACTGTAACACTGTACTAATTCTATTATATAAAAAACCAGGGGCTGTCATGACCGAAACAACAGATGGACAACCGAACATCAGGCTGTGTGGGGCAAACAGGCTGGCAGGGGTTTAGTGATGGACAACCAAACGACTGAACAGCAGGCTGCATAGGGTGACCAGGCTGGCAGGAGGATTAGTGAGGGATGACCAAACCACTGTTGAGGGCAACCAGGCTGGCAGGGAGGTTAGTGAGGAATTATCAAACGACTGAGCATCAGGCTGCGTGGGGTGACCATGTTGGCAGGGGTGTCCGTTGGGGGAGACTAGGCTGGCGGGTTGGGGGGGGGGGGGCGGCAATTGGGTGCGACCAGGCCAGCAGGGGGAGCAGGTAGGGGTGATCAGGCAGGCAGGTGAGCAGTTAGAAGCCAGCGATCCTGGATCGAGAGAGGGATGTCCAATTGCTGGTTTTCGATCATCCCCCAAAAGGCCCCCCTCCATGCATGAATTTCATGCACCAGGCCACTAGTTAACATTATAAGAACACTAGGGACCTAGTGCACGAATTCATGCACCTTGAAAGGAACTGTGGACTGCAAGGCTGTGGTTACAAGGGTGGGTCTCAGCCCATCTTTTACACCCCTACTCAGCCCCTTCCGCCATGGCCCCTGGTCCCTGTCTGCTGGCAGCCCCCACCACTACCATTCCCTTGCACTGATGGCTCAGGCCCTGCTCACATCCACTAATAGCGTGGAGCGATTGGGGCCGGCACCAGCAGCAGGTGTGAGCGGGGCCAGTGCCATCAGAGGGTGTGAGCAGCGGTTGTTGTCCCGATCGCCCCTAAGGACAGGGGAAAGTGGAGAAGCCCTCAGGGGCGATTTTGGCCAACAGCCGCTGCTCACACTCACTGATGGTGCCGAGCGATCCAGCAGTGGATGCAAGCGCCTGGCGGGACTGCAGTTCATGAGAGCAAAGAATTTTCAGTAACCATGAGAGGCTCGCCCCAGTGACAGCAACCAGTGCCTCACCATGATCTGGCATCCCTGCTCACCTGCTCCACCATCTGCTGTGGCTGATGCCAACCATGTTCCCCGCTCTACTGCCTACTGCCAATGCCTGCCATGTTCTGCACTTGCCCCCAGGTGGTCAGCACACATCATGGCGACCAGTTGTTTGGTTGTTCTGCTGTTTGATCTACTTGCACATTAGGGTTTTATACATATAGACTAGCAGCCCAGTGCATGAATTTGTTCACAGATGGGGTCCTGCCAGCCCAGCCCAAGTCAGGGTGTATTGGGGCTGGGCCTGTTGGGAGGAGGAGATGGCAGGATGGCTTGATCAGGGCCCCCAATCAGAGCCAAGTCGGCTGGGGGAAGGGGCTGCAGGCTATTGGCTGGCAGGCCCTGCCCGCAATTAGAGTTGGGGGGCCGACTGGGGGCTGTGGATGGTAGGTCAGCCAGCCCCACGCCCAAATGAGGTGGGTGGAGTTGCTAATCATGGGCCAGTGGCCTGGGGGAGGGGCCATGGGTGATTGGCTGGCTGGCCCTGTCCCTGATCTGGGTGGGCGGGTGATCTGGGGTGGGGCTGGGCGGAGGAAGGGGATGCAGGAGGTTGGCTGGCCAGCCCCACCCCCTATTGAAGTGGGGTGGCCATCAGGGGTAGTGCTGGCCAGGGGCGGGGGGGGGCGGGGGGGTCTTCAGGAGGTTGGTGGCTGGCCAGCCTCACCCCCTATTATCTGTTTTCTAGATATTTTATAAATATGTTTATTGTTTTTGTGTCTCTCGCACTTAGCATAATGTTTTTGAGGTTAATATATGTTGTAGCATGAATTGGTATTTTCATGCCTTTATTATATAATTCCTATAATACTCCTTTATTGTACTAGAGACCCCGTGCATGGAATTTGTGCACAGTAGGGTCCCTACCACTGGCTGGCAACTGGAGTCTTCCTTCCCTGGCTGCTGGCCAGAGCCTGCCTTTGTTCCTCGCTGCCCCTTTGTGGTTAGCACACGTCATAGCAAGTGATTGGACTCCCAGTTGAATTCCTGAGGGGACAGTTTGCATATTAGGCTTGTGTGTGTGTGTGTGTGTGTGTGTGTGTGTGTGTGTGTGTGTAAAATCCACTTGATTTATTCATCAGTTGTCCACTTTTTAGCTGTCATAAATAATAAAGCTTTGAATATTCATGGGAAAGTTTTTGAGCAGACAAATGGCTTTATTTCTTTAGGGTAGATATCTAATAGTGAAATTGCTTGATTTTTTTGGTAAATGTATGTTTAACTAGAAAACTGCAAACATTTCCATAATGGTTGTGATACATCGCATCATCCATAAATGAAGGTTTCTGTTTCTTTGTAATTTTCACCAATTTTTGTTATTGCCATCCCACTATTATCTCAGGTTAGCTTCTTTAGGATGGTGGGGAACATGCTAAGACTAATGAATTCCATAAACATGGGCCCATTGCTGCCTTTCATTTGCTGTGAAATCATTTCCTTGATTAGAAGTGCTGTGTGGAATACCATGACTGTGGATAAGGTTTTCTGTAAGTCCACAAATGGTAGTGTTGGCAGAAGTATTGTGTGTAGGGGAGGCAAATACGTATCTGGAGTGAGTGTCTAATCCAGTATGAACAAAACACTGCCACTTCCATGATAGAAGTGGTCCAGTGTATTGAGTCTGCCTGTTACCGGAATGAGGCCTTCTCAGAGACTCAGTGTGTTGGTCTCTGCCTTTAGCTCATTAGGCTATAGGCAGCAGTAGCTATAGGCAAGTTTGCCTTTATGTGAGATTCTGGATTTGGTTTTCAGCAACCTCACCTCTGCAGCTGTAGGAGATAAGGATTTCTTTCAGATCACTTACGTGGTACTTGAACTGGGAATTTGAGTCTTTTGAGCACATCTTCACCTTTCACCATTTTATCCGTCACAATTTAGGAGTAACCAGCCAATCTCACTATACTTGTTAGTTTGAAATGTTCTAAGGTATCAAATACATGATCGCCAGAACTTGGTCTCTTATTATAAATATACTTGAGAGTATCCATTGTTGATATTTTTGCTCATTTCTGTTGTCACATCAGAAAATGGACTTTTAATGCTCACCTTATTACTGGAAATATTAGTCATTAGTGCCTTTAAATCTAATCAGCCCACAAAAACTAATCAGATCCCCTTAAGGTTCTCTTCTTCTGGAATCACTTTAAGTTATCTGTTTTAGGGTTCTTCAGAGAAACAGTCAGTGAGATAGGCTCCTGCCACTGCTCCTGTGCTTGCCAGCTATAAATCCAGCTTTTGGCTGAGCCATACTTCTACCCTCTCCCCCCCCCCCCCCCCCCCCCGTGGGAGTGCACTGACCACCAGGGGGCAGCTCCTGCATTGAGCGTCTGCCCCTTGGTGGTCAGTGCATGTCTTACCGGCCAATCATTTCACTGTTGGGTTGATTTGTACATTAGTGTTTTATTCATTGCTTAGTCTATTACAGCGATTTTTAGCAAGTCTCATGAATCTTCTCTTACCTACCTAAGTCATTCTCTCACCTGCAACCAGAGTGAACATTAAAACCAAATCTGAACCTGCTTTTGTACTAAAACTTCCCTGGCTTTCTGTGGCTACCTTTCTTATTAGATTTTTCTTATTCAGCAGCATGTTCTCTCTGCTCCAGTCATGTTGGTCTTATTTTCATTTTCCATCTCATGACAATTACGTGCCTACTTTCTCCTAATCTGTCACCCACCCATCTACTCAAGAGTCCAACCATATTTATTTAAACTTAAATGTTAAAATTTTAGCTAATTGCTAGCTATATAAACCATTCAGTTAATAACATGTTTTCAAATTGGCAGTTTCAAAGAAAAAACATCCTTTCACTTTCTCAAACCTATGTTTAAGCAGTCTGTTAATGTGTTGAAGAGACAATGCATTTACCTAAATGCCTGTACTTTGAAAATAAGTGGCACTAATTTGTGATTCTAATTTATCTATAGAAATTTTGCTAATGGTCATTTATATTTTTTATCCTTTTAGTGTTCCTGTAGCTGTTTGGAAATAAAATTAAAACATAGATCTAGTAAACAGTGAAGCTGGTTACTATAACAAAAAAAGAAAAAAATCTAAGTATGTACACAAACAGTCTGGAGGGGAGCCAAGCCACCTTTTGAAAGCTCCTTGGCTACAGCCATTTTTGTTGGGATTTATTTATCTTCTATAATTGAAACATTGTAACCTTGAGCAGAGACCAGGGCTAGCCAGGGTGGGCAGGAAGCTTGGCTTCCTTCATTTCCGGAGAAACCCCAAGCCTCCAGCTCACTCTGTGACCGCAGCCATCTTTGTTGGGTTAATTTGCATACCCACTCTTGGTTGGCTAGTGGGTGTGGCTTGTGGGCGTAGTGGAGGTACAGGCAATTTGCATGTTTCTCTTTTATTAGTATAGTTTGCGCAGACTGGGGTGACCCTACCTCACCTATTCTCCTTTTAAAGTATGGGAAAGTATAGGTTAATAAGAATCAAGGGAAGCGTTCCTGTTATGGAATTTCTTTGTTGTTAAAACATCTATATTTATGATTCTTTCAATGCCTCTGTACTTTTTCAATCATCCCTCACTCAAGTTAGGATCTGTTGTCTTAGATCTAAAAGTTAGAATTTCATGAACTAAATTACTTGGGTATATTTTACATACTCCTCCAAGCATACTTTTTAGTAGATAAATAAGTATAAAATAAGATTTTTCTTTAAAGAGATAATAGTAAGGTAAGTTTTATCTGATTCTCATTTTGTTGTTTCTATTTTGTTTAAGAGGCTGAAAGTTTTTTTGTGTGTTGTTTTTTTGTTTGTTTTTTTTCTCTAAAAAAATATGCTTATTGTGCAGCTGGTTTAGGTCTGGATAAAGCATCAGCTTGTGGACTTGAAGGATCCTGGGTTTGATTCCGGTCAAGGGCGTATGCCCAGGTTATGAGTTCAATCTCTAGCAGGAAGCAGCCAATGATTCTTACTCACCACTGATGTTTTTATCTCTCTCTCCCTCTCCCTTCCTCTCTGAAATCAATAAAAATCTTTATTTTTTAAAAAGTTTACCTTCTTGATTGAGTTTACAATAATAGGTATACAAGTATAGTTTTTGGTTGACTATCAACTTAAAAAGAATGATATGTTTTCGGTTGACTGTCTACTTAAAAAGAATGATATGTTTTCATCTAGATCCCAAGGAAGAGAAAAATGAAGAAGACAGTTCTATCCTCCCTCAGGAAGTTACCATTACTACAACTAGGCCTAGCCGAGGCTGGCGCAGTAGCAGCAGGACATCTATCTCTCGGCATCGTGACACAGAGAACACCCGAAGTTCTAGGTCCAAGACTGGTTCATTGCAGCTCATCTGCAAGTCAGAACCAAATACAGATCAGCTTGATTATGGTATGGGGCAAGCAGATAATGGTTATGTAAGAACCATTGTCTGTTGCTTTTAAATGTAATGCTAAACATTTACCAAAACAGCTTAACTTTCAGGGGAAGGTGTGGTGATATAGGGAGGGTTCTTCTTCTTTTTTTTTTTTTTTTTTTTTTTTGTGACAATTTGTAGATATTCTCCTTTTGTGTGATTACCTGAAGCAGTAATTTGGTCTCTTAGCTGCAGGGAGAAAACTAAATAGGTAATGTTTTGTTTTGGCTTGATTTTTCCAGAAGTTGCAGAAGAGCATCAATCTCCAGGTGGCATCAGGTAAGAAACATTTCATATTTCATCTCTTGGGAACATAGAACACAATCACATTAAATTCTTAAAGTTGTTTTCTATTTGAATTTTGAGCTATAACAAAGAAAGTAACTTCAGAAGTTTTGGTATTTAGTTTAAATCCCACTTTGTGTTTTTTTTGTGTTTTTTTTTTAATCTTCACCAGAGGATTTTTTTTCCCATTGATTTTAAGAGAGAATGGAGGGGAGTCGGAGACAGAGAGAGGAGAAAGAGTGATGTAAGAGAGACACATTCATTGTTTGCCTCTTGCACGTACCCCAACCAGGGCTGGAAATTGAACCTGCAACTCTTGACCTGGAATTGAACCCAAGACCCATAGGCCAGGGCTCTAACCAATGAGCAATACATGCCTGGGCCCACTTTGTTCTTGATTATAGAGCCATGACTATGTAAACTGTAGCTATATAGTTCAGAAGTCATTATCTCAAGCATCTTCTGTGTTCTGGTTTAGTCTATACTTGGCACTAATATGAAATGAGGTTGTTTAGATCAGGGTTATGAAATGTTATCAATATCTTTGGTGGTGAATCACATGATTTTTATTTATTCTTTTGTCTGTTGATAGGTGTTTTTGATATGACAGATTCCTAACCATAGTATTATGAAGTCCATTGGATTTTAGCTCATCACACCATTGAACATTGATCACCTTGCCTTTGTTTAATAAGATGATAGCATATCTAGCATTTTTAGTTACATTTTTTTCTTTAGGGTAGAGCAGGTAGATGCAGTTCAACTAGATCATAAGGATAAAAAGTCTAGATAACTTACTGTGAATCTTTGAATACCTCCAAAAAAATTTACTTAATAATATATACTAAATTAGAAAATCTCCTCAGATTCAATCTTCAGCTAGAATTTCTAATCTTATTTGCTTCTTTTTAGTAGTGAGGAGGAAGAAGAAGAAGAAGAAGAGATGTTAATCAGTGAAGAGGAAATACCATTCAAGGATGACCCAAGAGATGAGACCTATAAACCCCACTTAGAAAGGTATGTCTCATTTTATTCTAGACATGTCAATGAAAAATAAGTTTGGAAAGCACTGTTGCATGTTTTTGCTTTGACTTGTTGCGAAACTAATGGATATAGACTTAATTTTATTAATTTATATTTTTATAAAATATTTTTATTGATTTCAGAGAGGAAGGGAGAGGAAAAGAGAAATAAAAACATCAATGATGAGGGATAATCATTGATTGGCTGCCTCCTGCTTGCCCCCTACTGAGCCCACAACCTGAGCATTTGCCCTTGATTGGAATCAAACCTGGGACCCTTCAGTCCACATGCTGACACTCTATCCACTGAACCATATCAGCTAGGGCTAGACTCAATTTTAAATGGATAATTAATTATGCATGCACTTACTTTGCAAATCTAATATTCTTATTGCCCCTTTTACAACACTTTCTTCCATTATAGAACTTTACTTTGATTATATCCATATTACAATATTATGACGTTTGCATGTTTTATTGTAACAAGATATCATGAATTGCCCGAATACTTGGAATTTTCTGATTTTATTTTGTTTTTCTTTGTAACTATAGTGAGATTTCATTTTAGGACATCATTAGCCTTGGGTGGAGGTTATCCCATAGAATTGAAATATTTGTCATTATTGTGCATATGAGGAATGGTTAGCTGGAAATCATTTCATGAGCCAAGGGTCATCATTTTATAATAAATCCATGATAATCCCAGGCTTTATCTTGTTATCAAGTTTTCCTTGAAAGGATACTTTGCTAGATACCAATGTTGAAATGTATTTGTGCTTTCAGGGAAACCCCAAAACCACGGAGAAAATCAGGAAAAGTGAAAGAGGAGAAAGAGAAGAAAGAAATTAAAGTGGAAGTAGAGGTAGAGGTGAAAGAAGAGGAGAATGAAATTAGGGAAGATGAGGAACCTCCTAGGAAGTGAGTGAGCAATTACTTCTAAAAATGGAAACTTAACATTTTGAAAGCACTAGTGGAAAAATATGGTGGGAGTGTGAGGGGAGATGCTGATATATACATATAGGGTGGAGTAAAAGTATGTTTGTAGGTCCTATGGAAAATAATAAAATAAGTAATAATCTATACTAATAAGAGGGTAATATGCTAATTAGACTGGGCATCCTTCTGGACAAAGCCATGGTGGCAGGGGTCGAGGCAGAGGCGGTTAGGGCAACCAGGCTGTCAGGGGAGGGCAGTTAGGGGAGACCAGGCCAGCAGGTAGAGGCTGTTAGGGGCAATCAGTCCAGCAGGGAAGTAGTTAGGAGTGATCAGGCCAGTAGTCAGAAGTGGTTAGGGGCGATCAGGCATGCAGGCAGGTGAGCGGTTAGGAGCCAGCAGTCCCAGATTGCAGACTTCCAGATGTCCAATATACCCTGAGGGGTCCCAGATTAGAGAGGTTGCAGGCTGGGGTGAGGGGAGACCTTCCCTACCCGCATTCATGAATTTCGTGTACCAGGCCTCTAATAATAAAAGAGAAACATCTAAATTGACCATAGCTATGCTACACTCACCAGCCAATCATGAGTGAATATGCAAATTAACCTGACAAAGATGGCATACACAGGCACCGTGGGGGAGAACAGAGCAGGAGAGCTGGCGGAGAGTGGAGCGGCTTGGGGAACTTGGCTGCCCAAGCCACCAGATGGAGAGCAGAGAGGGAGAGCTAGTGGTTTGGAGGACTTGGAAGAGCAGAAGACTGTGGGATGGAGACAGAGCAGGAAGGGAAAGCCAAGAGCGCAGGGAGCACCAGGGATGCTGGGAATCATAGTTCTTGTGGCAGACATCTAGACACTGGAGCAAAGTGAGCCTGGAGCAAGTTACTGTTGCGGTGGGGGATGGAGGGAAAGCAAAGGTGAGAGACATAAGTAAAATCAGAGTGTCTAGGAAAAATTAAAGGGAAGCTATCCTAAAACTTCCAGGAAATCTCCACCAATGAAGCAAAGGAAAAAAAAGCTTCTATTATTCTGTGAGCAACAAACCAAACTGGGTTGAGGTCTTAGACAATTAGCTCACATGATTGCAAAGACAAACAGAAACTCCCAGATGAGAGAGGGCTCCTCTGAGGGATCGCAGATTGGAGAGGGTGCAGGTCAGGCTGAGGGACCAACCCCCCATGCACGAATCTTCATGCACCGGGCCCCTAGGATATATAAAAGCCTAAGTGACCATTCGCCTGGTATCTTTATGCACACTGACCACAGCGGGAAGATGCTCAACACAGGAGTGGAAACCACAGGCAAGGAAACATGGGACAGATGATGAATCTCAGAGGGAAGGGGGGTGAGAAGAGATTAAGCAAAGATCTTTTATGCATATTAGAGGCCCAGCGCATGGATTTGTGCCCTGGTGGGGTCCCTCAGCCTGGCCTGTGGGGATCTGGTTAAAACTGGCTCTCTGGCATTCCCCAAGACATTGTAAATTGCGAGAGGCACAGCCAGGCTGAGGGACCCACCAGTACATGAATCCCTGCACCAGGCCTCTAATACAGTAATAAACTGTTTCATGTACTTACAACTGTAAACCTATTTTTGCCCCACTCTGTATTCCTGCCTTGAGCAGCTAACAATTGTATTGCAGAGACTATTCTCAAAAAAAGCTTGAAAAGTGTAATTCAGAGGTGATTCTTAAAGACATACAAATGAATAGGCAAGATAGTAAGTTATAGGGATGCAGGAGGAGTAGAACAGCAAGAAAAAGTATGGCAAATGATGTAATAACCTTGATCAAGTAAAACCTTTCTTAGCTAGCAACCATTTCTTGTTGCAGTAATAAGATTTTTGTGTTTTTAGGCTTTCTGGTTTTAGTGCAAGGAGACTATAATTTATATTTTTAGTGTTTTTTAGGTATAGACTCTTCTACTCTTTAATATTTAAGTGGTATACTTTTCACTGAAACAACTTTTCAAGTAGTAACCTTGATATTTATCCAAATCTTCTATAGTGTTGTGTAGTTTATAAATAGTATATTTTTAACTTGTGGTGCAGACTTTTTGGAAAGTAAAATTACTTGCAAGTGAGATCTTGGTTTGGTTTACCAGATATGTTAGTGACTTTATGTATTCTGCTACCTGTTCTTTGGTCTTGAGTATATATATTTTCAGCCATCCTTCAATAAACTTCAATCCAGAATATGTGGACAGTTTACTTTTATTATTATTATTATAGGAGAGGAAGAAGAAGAAAAGATGACAAAAGTCCACGACTACCCAAAAGGAGGTGAGGATTTGTACTCCTGTGTTTTACTTTGTTTCTGGTGGTAGGCATTTTACTCACATATGCCCTTATAATAATCCTGCAGGAATGGACACAAATAACTTTATTAGAGTCCATGATACAGAGGTACTGTGTTTTTATTTCCACTGCAGGACCCGAGTGTTTCTAAAAATCTTAATACTTTTTTACCCATTGGGGATATGGGATTACTAATTTATTTTCTGTTACTTTTTGTATAAACATTATTAAACATTTTGCAATTGCTGGTTACTTGTAACAAATTATATGGAAACTGTAATAATAGTATATACTTGCTATTTCCTAATAGTACAGTTTGAGTTGAAGGTCACTGAGCAGACTGTGTCTTCTCTGTTGCTAACTTTTCTCCTACATGCTGATTTAGAAAAAAGCCTCCAATCCAGTATGTGCGTTGTGAGATGGAAGGATGTGGAACCGTTCTTGCTCACCCTCGCTATTTACAGGTCAGTGAAGTTGTTGTGTAAGAAAGCCTTCCAAGTTAATGTTCCATTATTAGTTCTCAAGCTTCATGGGACTTTATGATGTGTGTTTTTGTGTAAGCTTTATCATTAACATGCAGTGTCAAGAAAAATTTTTATTTAAACATAAAATTAGTTTATTCATTGGTTAAGGGGGGGAAAAAAGGAGGAAGAGAAGTGTCTTAAGAACCTGAGCTCAAATGGAGGATTTTCCTTGGTGGTTCCTATGTACATTCAAACTTGAGAAAAACTCAGTGTTTCCCATTATAGTGCAAATACTTTTGATATAAGATTATTATAATGATACACCAAGACAAAGGAGAACAGGTTTTATTTTAATGTGCATTTTTAAAAGATAAATTTAGTAACTCAAACCAGTGATTTCTTAAATACTGTTTAAAATCAATTAACAATTTTTAATTTGCAGGGTTTTTTAGAAGTGAATAGATTTTTTTTTAAGTAGGAATAAAGATAACAGCTTATTTTTAGGTCTCACAGAAAATATGAAAGTGAATACAAATCATTAAAGCCTAGGAAATGCCTGTTTGATATTTAGTTTAGTAGCAAATACAACATGAGATTCAGGCCTTACTTTCTGTTTTGGTTCTGTTACAATAATGATAGCTAGTGTTTTTGTGCTACGTATCATTTGCTATACGCTAAGCACCATGTAGTATATGATCTCTAGATCCTTACAACATTACAAGACAGGTGATCTCCATTTTACAAATGAGAACTGGAGCTTATAGTATTAAGTGCAAAAAAAAAAAAAAATCCTGAGATCATGCTGTTCCTAAATGACAGGCCCTGATTGGAATCACAAGTTTATTTCTGAAGCCTATGTTCTTAACTATCTATATATATATAAAAGCCTAAGCGACCGAATGACTGATTGACCTGTTGCTATGATGTGCGCTGACTACCAGGGGGCAGACACTCAACTCATGAGCTGCCCCCTGGTAGTCATTGTGCTCCCACAGCCAACCCCCCACAGTTTTTCCCCCCTCCGCCCCTCCTCCTTTCCCCAGGTCCCTCCACCCCGCCATCAGCCCTGATCACCAGCCAGGCCGAGGGACCCCACCTGTGCATGAAATCTAGTTTGATTATATAGCCTCTCTATCCATATACAGAGTATTTGATTTTTTCTTCAGCACTTTGACTTAGCAAAAAAACATATCTGAGAAGCCTTAATTTTTATCCCTCTTCACTTCCTTTTACTGTTTTAGCACCACATTAAATATCAGCATTTGCTGAAGAAGAAATATGTATGCCCTCATCCCTCCTGTGGGCGACTCTTCAGGCTCCAGAAGCAACTTCTGCGACATGCGAAACATCATACAGGTACTTTCAAAATAAAATTTTCAGCAAGTATACAAATGCACTGTACTTTTTAAGTGCAAGTGGTAATTATGTTCTTTTTCTAACATAAATCTTAGAAGAATCTATAGTCAAGGTTGAGAGAAAGGTGGAAAAATAAAATATAATAACATAAATTTTATAAGGGATGACCTGCCAAATCAGCATATGCATTTAACAAGGTCACTTGGTGGTTCCTATGTACATTCAAACTTGAGAAAAACTTGGCTCTTCTCCCATATTTAATTTTAAAACTGTTTGGGATGGAATATAGGATTAATTTTGTTATTCTTTGCCTTTTAACTTATCCTTGTGTTTTCACTACTTATAGTAATATTAAGTGAAAGACATAGAAAATGTACTGGTCATTCATTCAACAAATGGTATTAAGCATCTGTTTGTGCACCCTCTTGTGTACCAAATGATGAACAAGTAATTAAGTATGATGCTCCTTTGCCACATAGATTCCACACCATGTTATCAAATTCATCAAAAATCCTATGAAATTTGAAGGGCTTTTGAAATGACAGAGAGTGGTAGTTGAATGGTACAGATGATGTGGGATAAAAGAATAAGGTAAATACAGGTTCTGTGCAGTATATTTGATAGCAGCAATTTGAGTCTATTGAGAGGTATAAATTGTTTATCTTGGATAACATTTTTAAAGAATCAAATCCATGAAAAATGTAGTTACTGACTTGCCAAGCAATTTATCCAAGATCTGGATTGCTGGTAAAATTAAGATTAGGATTTTAGTTCTCATATATTCCTATTGAGGTGTTTTTTAAAAAAATAGGTTCTTACACTATTGAATGCATGGAGTTAAAAAAAAGAAACAAAATAGAACTGTATATTCTAAATTTTTGTTTATCCAATTTTTATATATTGAAAACAGTGTTGCTCTTACTCTGAAATTGACCTTCCCGATCATCCGCTTACTTATTTTGAACTAGGGGGAAAAAATACTTAAACGGTTTCTGAATGGAAAACAAACCACAATTTTTTCTTCGTAGATCAAAGGGATTATATCTGTGAATACTGTGCTCGGGCCTTCAAGAGTTCCCATAATCTGGCAGTGCACCGGATGATCCATACGGGCGAGAAGCCATTACAGTGAGTACTTATTTATTGATAAACATCTAGGTGAGAAGTACATTTATTTACTCCACTTGAGGGTTAACCTCTTTAAAAACACTTAAGCTTCTGCTATTCTTTACTTTTACCAAATTATAGTGGGTATGGTTTGGGTGAGCCTACTTAGAGAACTTTTTCTGTTGTTTAAACAAACAGAAGAAGTCAGATTAGTGTTCCATCTGGTAACTTTTTCTGGTCTCTCACAAGAAGTATATGTTACTCTATTACTTATGTATGTGATCTCTAAATCACACCTGACTTTGAGTAAGAACTCTTTATTTCTCTATCTGATCAACCATTTTCTTTTCCTCTCCTTAGATGTGAGATCTGTGGATTCACTTGTCGGCAAAAGGCATCCCTTAATTGGCACATGAAGAAGCATGATGCAGACTCCTTCTACCAGTTCTCCTGCAATATCTGTGGCAAAAAATTTGAGAAGAAGGACAGCGTAGTGGCACACAAAGCAAAAAGCCACCCTGAGGTGCTGATTGCCGAAGCTCTGGCTGCCAATGCAGGCGCCCTCATCACCAGCACAGATATCTTAGGCACTAACCCAGAATCTCTGACACAACCTGCAGATGGTCAGGGTCTTCCTCTTCTTCCTGAGCCCTTGGGAAACTCCACCTCTGGAGAGTGCCTCCTGCTAGAGGCTGAAGGGATGTCAAAATCATTCTGTAGTGGGACAGAGCGGGTGAGCCTGATGGCTGATGGGAAGATCTTTGTGGGAAGCAGCAGCAGTGGGGGCACTGAAGGGCTGGTCATGAACTCGGATATACTCGGTGCTACCACAGAGGTTCTGATTGAAGATTCAGACTCTACTGGACCTTAGTAGAAGGGGAGACTAGGCAATGGGACAGCTCAGACTTTGTATTTAAAAGATAAAAAGGACAAAAAAAATTTAAAGCATTTAAGATCTAGTAAAGGAACTGAAGGGCCTGCTCTTTCCAATATGGATCACAGCACACACACATACATCCACTCTTTCTCTCCTCCCTCTTCTCTTCCCTTTATAAAATTGATGTTGCCTTTACCAGAAAGGTAGACAAAAAATACAAAGCTCTTAAAGCGAAGATTATCCTCATGCTCGGTTCCAGCCAGGCAGACTTCTTGTGATTAGCAGATTCCTTTTCCCAACCTGTAAATCTTACATGTTCTGGATCAGCTTTTAACTCTTAGTAGTATATACTGTCCTTCTTCTCTGCTGCTGCCCCATGGTCTGGCTACTACCCACTGCAGCACACTTACTCTCAAAGTATCATATAATTCTAATCTCTGGAGGCTGGCAGCTTGACTTGGCACTTTAGGGCCCCTTAGCAGGGTGAGCTGTTAAAACAGCACACATCTCTCACCCCCTTTTCCTCCGTTCCTCACCTGGTTTCAGAAAGGAAGGATACATACATGGGGACCACTTTGACCCCAGCACCTCAATCCTCCTCCTAATACCTTTATATGGCTCTCAGTGGTGCTCACTTGCTTGGAAGCAGGCTCCCAACAGGGAGGGGCTGCCCTTTACATGGTCTCTTTGACCATAGGACAGGGCTGCGTATCAGTGAGACATAAAAGTCCCAGTTTAATGGCAGAAATTTGCACTTTGAACATGTGTGTTTTTGTGTTGTGGAACCTGAGATTTATTTATTAACGGAAAGTCTGATTTTTTTTCTTTTTTCTTTTTTGTCTTTGTTGCTATATTTTGTGGGGCTGGGAGAGATTACATTAATCTGACATGGGGTCCTTTCCATAAGGTACTTTTGAAGGCAAGATAATAGAGTTGAAGAAGCACAGCCAGCCTCTAAAATCATAGCTTTCCAGTGGCCTTTAAGCTGGTCCTCGGCACTAATAAAATCACTACAGTAGCTTAGTGCTTTTTCAGAAGCCTTTTTAGGGGAGAATGTTATATTTGTGGTCATTAGTGCTCTGTGAGTTTTTAGAACATTGAGATTTAGGAATTTTGAGGGGATGAGGAAGGTTGTTCAGGGTCTGAATTACAGATACGAGATTTTCTCTTGAGAATTAGTTTTTGTTTTTATTTTTCCCCCATCATTTCTTTACGTATACCTCCCTATTGGCCCAACTCTAGCCCCTTGCTTCGTTTTTGTTTTTGCTTTGCTTTATCATTGGCTCATTCCAGCTCCCGATTAGTGAAGGACACTGCCATTAGTGAAGGAATAGTCTAGGAGTCGTACAATTTTAAGTCAAAGAAAATGGTTCTGTTTTGTTTCCTAAGTTTAGTTACAAACACTTCAGAAGAAAAAAAGGCTTCAGTAGACAAAATTAATGTAATAATAGCTTTGGCTCCCACCAGAAATTCTGGGATTTTACCACTTCCCTTGAAATACGAATTTTCAAGGGATGGATTGCTTATTATTGTCCATGAGAGAGGCAATTAATGTTTTTGTATAAGCTCTTAACTCCCAGAAGACAAAAACCTATTTGGGCTCATTTTTAGGGAATTAAAAGGGCAATTTTTGTCCTGTGTACCTCAGAAGCTGGAATTGAAGGCTTGCCCTATGCATTGTTTGTCAGAAATGTGCGATGGCTGTTGGAAAGAATGAAGTTTTGCTGAGAACAAAATGAGGAACAGCTTGTTTTTCACAAACACTAAAACTACAAAGTTTATCAATTTTCTCTTTGACTTTTTTCTTCCAAGAAGAGGGTAACAAAATGTCATCTCTGAAATAGGCGTACTTGACACCCACGAGTGCCCGTGGCTGGGATACCAGAGAGTGGGGAGTGAGGCACCTACAGTGCACAGGCTTAAATGCACTATTGTTTCTCTTCAGTGTGTGGCAGCATTGCCATCCCTCCAGTGGTGTGGGGGTAGAAAGTGGAATAAGGATAGAAGGGATGTAGAATGTGCTTTCCTGCCCACAGTAAGGATTTGGAGTTGACTTTGGTATATTGATTGGATATGAAAATATACATGATTGATTGGGTGGGTCTACAGTAAAATTGTTCTCCTCTCCCCCACATAAGTCTATTTTGTACTGTTTCACTAGCTAACATCCATTCCCCATATTTACCTTTGTCTTCATTACATTTATTTTATCCTTTGTGTCCATAAATTACATTTTTGGTAGTTAGTAATGAGATATTTTAGTCATGAAAGCAAACTGCATTAAAATCTTTGAGATAGAGGTAAATATGTTCTCACACTCCTCTCTCCCTGTCAGAGTTCTAATAATTGAAACTATCTGTTCTTTCTCCCTTTGTTGTCCTCTTCATAGCTACCATTTGCCTATAATATGCTTCAATAAATTATTATAGCAGTTTGCAATAAACTTGTATTTTTCATGGACTTTATCTTTTTTCCTTTTGAGATGAGGATGCTAGCATAGGAAAGAATTTGTGTATGTACTGGGCCCTCTTTTTTTCTTTTCTGCTCTTCATGCTGTTTACTACGTTGTCCTTCCAAGGAGCTCTTTTAATCTTAAAATTCTGCATTTCTTACTTTTAGTCAAATTCTGTTATCCTTTTCCCCCACTGCATATTCTCCATCTTGAATTGGCAACTCTAGATTCTTGAAAATGTAGTTGAGATACAAACATTATTTCTATGCTTCCCCCTTGTTTGATTGCCCAGGATTATTTTGCATAATTGAGACCTAATATGCTTCAGAAAGTTTAGATAAACACTGGCCAGGATTACTGGGAGTAAAAAAATATATTAAGGTATGGAAAGGCATCCACATAGAGCACTTGAACCTCCTTTGTACTTGATTGGAGAAAAAATATAGTGTATTAAATCTGAGGTTATTACAGTCTGGTTGTTTGAAATTCCATTTCTCTCTCTTGTCTTTTTCCCACTTTCCAACGTACTGAAGAAGATTGAAAAATTGTAATGGATCAATTTAAAATATTTTTATTTCCTAAAAGCCTTTTTGCCTATTGTAATATGCAGGACCCTTCTCCTTTTATGGGAGAGATAGGTAGTTACCTGAATCTAGGTTGAAAAGTTATGTAAAAAGAAATTATAATAATAAAAGGGATACTCTGCTTTTCAAATTCTTGTTTTCTCTTAATCTAGGTAAGACATATCCAAAATAAGTATGTAAAGAAGAAAATAAAATTGTCTTCATGGAAGCAACTGGTCTTCCTTGGTTGTACTGAGTTACAGTTGTCCCAGGGTGAAACAATTGATGCAGCTAAATAAGAAAACCAGGTGCCCTTGGAGCAGGCTGTATGTGGCAGATACTGTTTGCTCTGTGGAAAATCAGGGGGGGGTTAACTTTTGACAGTGTTTGGTTCTTGATTTATGATGCTGATATGCCATGTGGTGAGTTGACAAAATATTAACTTTTTAAAAAAAAATAGTATCCTTTTATCTAAGTGAAAGGCTACTGTGACAGCCACCCATACTTCATTTCTTTCTTGTTTACCTATGGAAATTTGTCCCTGAGAAGGCATGTTTCAATTTAGAGGGAATGTCTATGAGAGGAAATAGTGACAGCTAATTAATTCATTTGAAGTTGAGACTTGCAACTTCTACCAGTTAGCACCATCCTCTAACCTTTACTGAGTTAAATGCAATAGAATAGCAACTCTACAGCTGCTTTGAAACTCTTTTGCCCTCATTTCAAAGCCCAACTAATCTTATTTTGTGGAGAAGCATGTGGTATAACTGAGATAAGGAAGAAAAAGAAAAACATGTTGTCACTTGAGTGAGACTGTCTTAGTAATGTTACCATGTCAGGGTTGGGTGTTTACTGTCCTTTGGAAAAGAACAGGCCTAAACAGTATCTTCATCCTGTAGCTATGAGGAAGGCACTGTGATTGAGATCAGAGATGCCTTCTTAGCTAATTTTTAACCAAATGTAAGTTAACTTTAAATACACAGCAAAAGGATGGGAGTAAAAAGAAGCAGTATTTTTTAAAGGACCCTTTTCACGTAAATTTTATGTAAGATGAAGCAAATAATATTTATCTTAGAATCATTCTGAAGATTAAAGGCTTTATAGCCTTGAGCAGTGCCTGGCCCAGGATAGGTACTTAATAAATGGCGGCTATATCCATAATAATGATGTAGTATTGAAGACTACCAGGTCAAAAAGGAAAAGAAAAGGACATGGGGAGCACAAGGGAGAGTGTAATAAAGTGAACTGATGATATGTGTATACAAAATAGATTACATTAGGTATCATGAGGATTAGTGTGATAGTGACCTTGTTGCTAAGTGCAAAAGCAAAACAATGACACAAAAACAAGTAGGCTAGGCACTCGGAGGAGAGAGATGGAGGCAGACGCTGCAGGAAAAAAAAGCTGAGTAAAAGGGGCCTTTGATTCCACAGGCACAAAAATCCACAGCCAGGAATTTGCTGCCACCTCTGAGTCAGGCGGGGTGGGGGTGGGGAACGACATTCCCTTAGAGAATGCCCAGTGGATTTAGTCTGGGTGTCACATTTCTTATTTGGAACAGTGTAGACAGAAACAAACTCAGCTCACTTGTTTCCTGGGACAGTTGAGTTAGGGGATGGCTTTCGCAGAGCACTCATCGCTGACCCCTCACCGTCGTCGGGATCTCTGTAGCCGCTCCATCTGGCTAGCAAGAAAGATTCGTTCAGACCTGACGGCTCTTATGGAATCTTATGTAAGTTGCCTATTTTGCTGTTGTCTATTTTGACTTCATCTATTCTGATCCCACCCTTTACCATCATGCTTCAGCCCCATTACCAATTATGAAAGCACTAATACAGTCAGCTATATAATGGGCACATATCATTTGACATGGCCCCTTCCCTTAAGGAAACTTACATGAGTTTATTTCCTTTCTCTAAGTTTTTTAGGAGATTTGTTCCTGATAGGAAAATACCCATGGGTCGCTAGGTAGGGTTGGCTATATGTCTTGGAGGCTGTTCCTAATTTGATTGCCTACAATCTGAATTCTACCAGAATAGATTAACCATGAGCCCTCTAAGTTTGGGTTCGTCATATAGGTTGTTCTGAATTTTTGAACTATGCAAATGAAAGGCAGAGTAAGGTTTATAGGGTTGGGAGGAGAGCAGTGTAAACCAAATCAATTTCTATATAGTATTAGCTACCCACTTTTTAATTCAACACATCAAAAGTGTTTCTAGAATGCCCTGGCTTGGTTGGTTGGCGCATTGTCCCATGCAATGGAAGGTTGAGGGTTCCATTGCCGGTCGGGGTATACCTAGTTTTCAGGGTTGATTCCCCAGTCATGGCATGTACAGGAGGCAACCAATTGATGTGTTTCACATTGATGTGTCTCTCCTTCCATTTCTCCCTCTCTAAAATCAATATAAAAGGAAAAACGGCCGGGACTGGTTTGGCTCAATGGAGCGTCGGCTTGGGGACTGAAGGGCCCCGGGTTCGATTCCAGTCAAGGGCATGTACCTTGGTTGCGGGCATATCCCCAGTAGGGGGTGTGCAAGAGGCAGCTGATCGATGACTCTTATCGATGTTTCTAACTCTCTATCTCTCTCCTTTCCTCTCTGTATAAAATCAATAAAAAAATATATTTAAAAAATAAATAAAAGGAAAAACGTATTTCTGGATCTAAACAGAAAGGTCACCTATACTATCAAGAGGGTTTCCTAGAAGATTCTCTGGGAAGTGTTATATTCTTAAAGCATTAGCCATGGGTTCCAGATTGGTTTTCTGATAGTGGGAGATTCTCTACCTAAGAGCTGCTGTGAAAACACTTCAGACCCTGTGGAGAGTATCTGCGCAGCCCCACTAGTTTTTCTAACTGATTTCCACTGAATCCTCTAAACCAGTGGTCGCCAACTTTTCGGACCTCATAGACCACCAGTTGCGATCGCTGCTCTAAAGGATTGTCCTCACTACGGAGAGTGAGCAATAGAGAAGAAACAATTAGAAAAATCCTATGGCTACATTCCAGGGCTTCCTCGCTGGGGCCAGTGTCATCAAGTATGTTTAAAATACTTAAAAACTTCAGTATGATTAAAATGCACAGGAGGAAGTTTGTAATGGGAAGAAAAAGTTACTCCAGGCAGTGGTTTTCAACCTTGAAAACCTAAAGAAAATGGCAGAGTCTCCCAAGAAAAATAAATAGGTAGTCAAAGCAATTTGTATAATTTGAGGGACAAAAGTATCTCCCGAAAGTCCAATTATGGACCCTGAATCAAGAGTTTCTGTATCATTTAGGTCCATGACCAGGGAGGTGAATAAGATTTTATATAAGTTTTAGGGATTATTTAATTGAGAATGTGATGTTTTTCTCTATCCTTGGCCAGGTGAAGCATCAGGGCCTGACCAAGGACATGGACCTGGATTCTGTGGATGGAGTGCCAATGGCAAGCACTGATCGCTGGAGTGAGCTGCCTGAGGCAGAACGACTCCTAGAGAACCTCCAAGCTTATCGTACCTTCCATCGTATGTTGATCAGGCTTTTAGATGACCAACGGGTACATTTTACTCCAGCTAACAGTGACTTCCATCAAGCAATACATACCCTTTTACTCCAAGTTGCTGCCTTTGCTTACCAGCTGGAAGAATTAATGGTGCTCCTGGAACACAAGATCCCCCCCAGGGAGGCTGATGCGATACCTGAAATAGCTGGAGACGGTGGTCTCTTTGAAAAGAAGCTGTGGGGCCTAAAGGTGCTCCAAGAGCTTTCCAAGTGGACAGTGAGGTCCATCCATGACCTTCGTGTCATTTCTTCTCATCAGACTGGGATCTCAGCACATGAAAGCCGATATATTGCTAATGACAAGAAAATATAGCAGTTAGTCTGGCTGGAGTGGTTCAGTTGGTTGAGTGTCATCCTGTACACTAAAAGGTTGCTGGTTTGATTCCTGGTTAGGGCACATACTTGGGTTGCGGGTTTAATCTCTGGTTGGGGTACATATAGAAAGAAGGCAGCTGATAGATGTTTTCTCTCCCTCTCTCTCTCTCTTCTCTCTCTCTCCCTCCCTCCCTCCTCTCCCTCTCTCCCTCTCTCCCTCTCTCTTCTCCCTCTCTCCCTCTCCTTCTCCCAACCCTGTCTTTCCTTCCCTTTGTTTCTGCCTCCCTTCCTCTCTCTAAGCATGTCCTTGGGTGAAGATCAATAACAACAAAAGTAACAGTTACCCATCTCTTTCTTCTTTTCTTTTCTAATGGAATATTTATAGTTTTTTGAGGCCTCACTTTCCCATTCTTAAGTTTTTTAAAACTCTTGAGACAACAGAGCTGTATGGGAACGTGGAAGGGGCACCATTGTTCCACCTCAGTGCTCTAACCTTTCCTACCCACGAAGTAACCTCTACAGACATTTGACATTTAACAGCCTCTTAGGCCACGTATATTTTTAACTCTAGTTCTGGAAGACTCTACTAAGAGGACTATAATAGGAAATTAAGAATCATGGACTCTATCCAATTCAAACTCTTGGATAATAAAGATAGTAACTAACACATTTATTGAGTATCTACTATATTGAAGCAATATACCAGGGGCTTTATGTATATTACCATTTTCACAACCATGATGAGGGACATGGTGTTACTCCCATTTGGCAGATGAGGTAACAGGCTCACAGAAACATATAATTTATTTGATATTAGTACACTAAATTTGAACCCAGACCTTTCTGATTTCGGAGCCTCTATGCCCTTTGCTTAGAGGCCTGATATGAACCTCTATCACTTAACCTTTGCCACAGAGGGTTGGAAAATGGATCCATGGAGTATATCCCTAGCACTGAAAAAACCCCCACCATATGGTAGTCCCTCTATCTGCAGTTTCACTTTCCATGGTTTCAGTTATCCATGGTCAACTGCAGTACAAAAATATTAAATGGAAAATTCCAGAAATGAGCTATTTGTAAGTTTCAAGCTGTGTGCTGTCCTGAGTACTGTGATGGAATCTAATGCAGTCTGCTCCATCCCACCCTGGACATGAATCATTCCTTTGTCCAGGGTAACCACGCTGTATACACTGACCTCCCATTAGTCACATAGTCATCTCAGTTATCAGAGAGAGATCACATTCACTTAATGTTTATTACAGGGCATTGTTATAATTGTTTTGTTCTCTGTTATTGCTCATCTTTTATTAAGAAAAACAGGGTTCTCACTATCTGCATTTCAGGCATCTTCTGGAGGTCTTGGATGTCTCCCCATGGATGGGGAGGGGGCTAATGTACATGTCCTGCAGGGCACAATGTTAGTGTCAATGTCCATACTTGTCAAAGAAGAGAGCAGTAGAAAAGATTTTTTCTGCTTGGGGAAAAGATTAGGCTCACCTAACTTCTAAACTTGGGAAGCTGGGGGTGTGCGGTAATGCTTCATGCTTCCAAGTGTCCAATGTTGGTGAGTTCGGGGGTGGGCATACATTTATTGTAATCGGCAATGCTGCAATACAATTACTAACCCAAGCATTCATGGACGATGGGGGTAATACTGCTCAGGTTAAAAAGTCACGGAACTACTTCACCACACATTCTCTGGACTTAGTCATGAGGAGCGGGTGAGGCCCACTCTGTTCCCAGTGGGAAAGCCAGTGCTACTAAAACAAGACACAGCAAAGCCTCCATGCTTCACAACCAAGCGGCAGCACTCTGATGTCCTTGAGAGAAAGAGCAGGACAAGTGCCAACCAGTAAACGAGGGCATTAATGGAAAAGTTCACTGGCAGTTGGGCCCATGAACTAGTAAAAATGTGAATCCAAAAGTTCTCAGGTGTATCATTTCATAACCCCAATCATTTAAGACGCAAGATCTTGGATTGGGGGTCCAAATACATTTCATTTACCTCTTTGAGGTTTTCTTGCATTTTTAAATGAGCCATGAGTCAGAGAGAGCTAGCTCACATAGATTACATGAGGTGGAGTGGGTGACTTACCTTGTGACCTTTCCCACATGGGTGCATGAAGTCAATATGTGAAAACTCTGGTAGAAATTAAGGCAATACAAGGGAAGTAAGGCCCTGTTGTCTAGTATGGAAACAAGGTTGTATGCATATAAGAAATCAATACTAGGTTAGAGGTGTAAGGCATGGGTTTCAATGTTATGGAATTGAAGGAAGGAGCTGCCCTTACCAGTTTGGCTTAGTGGGTAGAGTGTTAGCCTGCAGACTGAAGGGTCTTGGGTTCGATTCCGGTCAAGGGCATGTACCTTAGTTGCAGACTTGATCCCCAGTGTGGGATGTGAGGAGGCAGCTGATGTTTCTCATCGATGTTTCTAACTCTATCCCTCTCCCTCTCTGTAAAAATCATTAAAATATGTTTTTTGTTTTGTTTTTTTAAAGAAGAAGGAGCTCAATGAGGACCAGAAATTACTTCTTCCTGGAGGAGGGAGGGGTTAGTTGTGTCTCGGTTGTTGAATGAGTACCAAATCAATAGAAATCATAACAGAAACAGTAAAAAGAAGAATGTGAGGCAACAATATCCATAGAGGACCAGCTACCCCTTTGGGGATTATTGTTTGGTTTTATTTCATTTGTGATTTTGGTGTAGATCGATAGTCCACCAGTGAGTACATAGAGGTTTATTTAATTCAAGCTTTTTCTATTTAAATTGTTTCTTCTGCTTAACGAGCAGTATTTTTGGTTAATAAGATGCTGCTTATTGACATGAAGTTCTTAAGTTTATATAGTATCAATATTTTGGGCTCTTTGTTTAATGGAGAAAGGTGACTATAAAATTTCTTAATAGGAAATAAATAACATTACAAACTTGCTAAATCTGAAAGGATTTTGCTTCTATATTTGGATGTTGCAGTGCAGACGCCTACAGAGGTTTCAGGGATCCATGGAGCATAGCATAAGCTCTGCTGAGTTGCACGTGAAGGAATGTTTATGCGTAAGAGGCACATTTGAAGTGGCAGAGAGTCCAGAAAAGGTGAAATAGGAAGATGTGTAAGTGGCAGGTCTGTTGAGTGCACCTCCAGCACTGTGCTTTGTATCATTTCTTCAAGAAACTCCCAGGATCCTCCGAAGACGTGTGGGGAGACGCCTCAGAAAAAAAGATGAAGGGGGAAATGAGCACTTAGCTATAATAATAAAGACATGAGCATGCATGGATCTGCATATTAGACATTTCATCAATGCACCTGAAGTGGATGAAGCAGACTGAATGAAGGGTTGACATTAGACCAGGGCTATAGGTGCCTATCCTATAACAAAGGGAAAATGGTGACACTCAGAGTCTATATATTTTTAACCATCCATAATCCAAAAGAGATATTTGATCTTTAGATTTCAACTCTTTTCCTCAGATCTGCATATGGATAGGATCTCTGGGGAAATAATATTTTTATATATTTATATGTGTATATATATATATGTATATATAATATATATATATACATATGTATATAAATATGTACATATAACCATATCCTATATGTGTGTATATGATTAAAATGCACAAATTTAGTTTTTTGCCCCTAACCCTTATTTTGTAAAGAAGATTCTTTCCATCCCACTGTCTCCAGAAATGCTTTCTTCATGGGGAAAGATACTATTTTCCTGACAAAGAATCGCATGTGTGAGAGTTGATAACCTTCTCCTGTGAGCCATTTGGAAAAGATTTGCAAATTAGTACAAACTTGAAGGCCAAGCATAGAATAAAATTAGCTTTAAGATAATCAAGTTTGAGGGAAATGAGCGTTTTAATAAAAATGGAAAGTGTAAAGTCATAGCCCTGGTATGGCTGTTATTTCAGGCCGCTGTGGATTAAAGCCCAATGGGTGACTCACCGTGGTAACTGCTGGTCAAACCGTGAGAGGACAAGTAAATATTTCAGGGAGACATATTTGAAATGTTTAGAATGGTTTTTGTAAATCCTCACCTTGTGAAATAGCTGAGAATAGGGTGGGGTGGGGGAAGGAACTTTCATCGGGTTGAGAAAGGGGTTGATGATGAGGAAAAGGAGAAAGAAAATAGAATTTGGATATAACTTCAATTAATTTATTGTGTGCATGGATGCATATGTGCGTACATGTGTGTCACCAGCATTGTTTAGGCCAGGACATTTAAAAGAATGATTTGGCTTCTTGTCTCACTGCACCTAGGCTTGAAGCCTCAGATCCAGGAATGATGGTACATTCAAAAAATGAACGTGACAAAAATTTCCTCTATTTGCTTAAAAGCGACTATCGAGCTCAAAGGTCTACAGATAAATACAGACAAAAAGTATAATTTGTTCTTTTGATGTAATGTGTGTTGGGCATGAGATAAGAAAATCCATGTGCATGTGATTCTTATAGTACTTGGGTGGATTAATTTCGGGCAAATAGAAAATAAAAGATGCAGGAATGACTCACAATAAAGATTTCACCTCAGCAAGATCATGAGTTTGCTTCTTTTATTTCTGTATCTTTGGGTGAACAAGAGGAATTTCAAGTGATTTCAACTTTGTAATCTTCCCAGCCAGGCCAGGCTCAATCAGGCGTGCTGGGTAAGCCTCCATGAAGCCAGGCCCTTGGGTAAATCTCTACAGGCCACTCAGCTTAGAAAAGGCAGACTGCCCTTATACCCGCCAGCTGGCTTGCAGATGGAGAAGATTTTCTTTAATATGATTTAATCTCAAGTATCTGAATTCCAATCAAACCTTTCAAAGACAGAACTCTGACTACCTCATCTGGTCAGTTTGAGGATAGAAACTGAATTGTGGAAAATCGCATAGGGGAAAATATGAAAAATTGCTAATAGATTCTGTGTTTTTATCTACCTGTTTAAGATGGCATAAAATGAGTACTGCATTTACTTATGTCAGGCATCTCTACACTATTTCATGTCATTTAATCCTCAGATACGATCTCTCTTTCACAATGAGGGGAATGAGGATGAACATTACTGGTCTAAGCCCCTTGCTCCAGTGCTATCTGATAGGACTGCAGTTTTAGTTCTGTCTCCAAAGGTCACTCCACCCCACTGCAATGGGACACCTAGTAATTGAGACAATCTTATCTTGAAATTCCCTTGTTTTTGGACAAAGCCAGTACAGACTTGTACCAAATCTTGCTCTATGGCAAATTCTATGAAGTCTCTAAAGTTTGGGACAAGTCACTTTTTCTGAGCTTCCTCATGTATGAAACAGAAAGGACAAAAACTATCTTCACAGGTCGTCACAAGATTTAGACAAACTTGAGTGTCTGAAAGTGCTTATAAATGACATACAAACATCCAGTGTGTTTAAGGTCTGGAATAGCTTGGATTAAGGTAAGACTTCAGTCTGAGGAGAGCGTTCTGTAAGTTTCTCAGAGAAATACCAGCTGCTTCTCAGGATCGATCTGGTCATAGCCTAGACCAGTGGTCAGCAAACTCATTAGTTAACAGAGCCAAATATCAACAGTACAATGATTGAAATTTCTTTTGAGAGCCAAAATTTTTAAACTTCTTCTAATGCCACTTCTTCAAAATAGACTCGCACAGGCTGTGGTATTTTGTGGAAGAGCCACACTCAAGGGGCCAAAGAGCCACTGTGGTTTGCTGATCACAGGCCTAGACTACACTTTGCCCTGAGCGTGGGCCTTTGGCCACTAGAGACTGACCCAGTCTCACACAGCCTCCAGGAGTCATCTGCCTGTGAAGAGTTGAGACTCAGGCTGTTCACTACACCCAGAAGATGGCTTTCACAGTAGGCGGGCTAGACAAGTTCTGGAGAAGCCTGGCAGGCTCTTCTGGATAGCCAAGGAAACATGCAAACCAAGGCACCACCCAGGATGTGTTAAAGCCTGCATTTGGACGTATAGCTGTCCTGCCATATGTCAGCACCCTCCTGTTAACTCAATCTTAATTTATTTCTATTCCAACATTAAACACAGCACAATGGAGTCAGAAAGGTTCAGTAATTCGTTCCAGTGTCCCAGCTAGAAAATAGAAGAATGAGAACTTAATCCGGGACATTCCCTCCCCACTGCACCTTCCTGCTTCCCTATTAGACCAACTTCATCTTAGGTAACAGTATCTCTATTTCTTTTTACTCTTCACCCAGCGCTCTCTAGCATCCTTATCTCCAATCGGCCTTTGGGAGCCTGGGAATAGCAACTCAATACAAACTCTACTTTAACCAAGATGCTAAATGATTGACATTATGAAAGTTGAGCATTCTTGCTCTGACTAGACTGGGAACTTAAATTATTTGAACTTTTCAGCCCTGTAGATAACTCTCATAATACCCCCTAAAGAACGCATGTATTCTGACCTCCTGACATCTGTCACCAGACTACCCAACATCTGACTAATAACCGCCCTGGTTATTCTCAGCCATGCACTTTTTACAAAAGGAAACCTTACCTTTTCTTTCTTTTTTGGAACACTTCTGGGTTTTTGCCTAGCTGTGGGTCTTTACTCTAAGGCCCTTGAATAAATCTTTATCATTTATTTCTTAGCCAAAGCCTCCAAACTCTTCATGTCCTTTCGGCATTTATGGTGTCAATATCATGGAATCTGGTACTGCCACTGGATTTCAGCTAAGTACCTTCTTGAGCCTTTGGTGCTCTGTCAGCTTCCTGACTGCTTCAGAATTCCAGTGGGTGAGCTCTATTGGTTCAGAGCTTTAATTCTTGGCTCCTCTGATACTAGTTCTAGTAACAGGTACTCTCTTTCTAAGTGTGTTTATGGAGGGACAATGACATTCATTCATTCTACAATGCCAGCTGATTTTATAGGCTGTCCTCTGCTAAATATTTGTCTTGATGGACTTCTGATAAGGACAGTTTGAAATTACAGTGGCCACTTTGGGTATCTTTTGAGATTCTGAAATTAATATGTTTACATGCACAATTAGAAAATCTTAGCTCTGCTAAATAAGCTTAGTGATATTTAAAGGTCCCTAAGAAATTCAATGGTTCAAAGATAGCCTCCCTTCAAGAAACAAATTTGAAACTAAAAAGCAAATTCTGGACTAAACAAAAAGAAATCTAAACTCACTTATTATTGTGCAACTTCCTTGGCCAACCAATAAAAAAGAAATTTCATAGGGGAGCACCCAGACATAAATTCTATAAACCTGTTTTCCAGGCCCACTCCCACTCCCAAAACTAATGAGTTTGCAAATAAACTCCCTGGCACTTTTGACTGACATCTCTTTTGTCTTTTTTTTTTTTTTTTTTTTTTTTTTTTTTTTTTTTGCCTAGCTGTGACACCTTTCAGGAGAATTTATCCTTAAAATACTTATTTATTTGTTTGTTTGTTTGTTTATTTATTTATTTATTTATTTATTTATTTGAGAGAAAAACATCAAATTGTTACATACTCATTTATGCTTTCATTGGTTGATACTTGAATATGCTCTGTCCAAGGATCGAATCCACAACCGTGGTATTTCAGGACCATGCTCTAACCAACTGAGCTATCTGACCAGGGTCAAAACTTATATTTAACATGGAATTTTTATCCTCTAAAAGTCCCCAAAAGCTCCTTCCTAAGGACCTCTAGCTAGCTATATGTATAAATATTTTGGTCCTGCCTCATCTACCTTTTGAATAAAACCAACCAACTTAGCTAAAATAATTTAAAATCGTAACAGTCATTAAGTAAAAACTTTAAGTCCACCTCCAGGGCCTTCCTTAGAGAGGGAATTCTAAACCTCTTGAGGATAATGGAACATATTCTTTGATTTGTAGAAACTTCTAAAAAAACAAACACTGTAAAAAACAGCTCTCGAAGAATCCCAAAATAACTTTGGTCATCTGAGCAGATAATGAAAAGCAAGAATCTCCTGTAATAAACTAGTAAAAAAAATTAAAGATGTAAGAAGTACCTAAAACAAAAGGCTGTAAGACCAATTGGTTATTTATCCTGTCTCTCCCAGCGATAGCTGTTGCCCGTGCCCTAAAGGCTTGGCTTGACCTTTTGCCTACCTGGTGTCATTGAACAGAAAGAGTTTATCCACCCAGGGCTGGTAGAGCCAAACTCTAGGCACCGAGAAATATTGCAGTGGAGAAATATTGGCTATTTATTTATGAATTACATCATCCAGCAGAATGGGAAGCTAGTACTCAAAACACAAACTCCCCGATGGCCTTTAGGTAACAGATTATATAGGGCAAAAATCACAAGACACTATGGGTTCAGGATTCTGGTTGTTGGGAGCTGATTGATCAGAAGTGAGGTAAGGATAGTTAATCATTTCTTCAGGTCTTGAGGACAGTTCTAAGGTCTGTTTCAGTGTCCCTCTTCTGGGAAGTAGCCAGAGGGTCATTCCACCTCATGGCTCAGGAGCTAAAATATAACTTAGGTCAAGATGTTATCTTTAGCCTGCAGAGGTCCTGAGCATGGGAGCATTAGTCAAGTCTAGGCACTGTCTTCTGCTGCCTGGGGGTCACTGATGAGCCGGGGGGGTGGGTGGGTGGGGGGCAAAGTTAGGTCTCTAAGGATTATAGAAGGAAAAAGAAAGAGATGGTTTCTAGAGCTAAACTTCAAATTTTAATTTATAATTTAAAATTAAATTTAATAGAAGTCATAGGACCCTCAGTTTCACTGGGAGGAGCAGGCTGTCAATTATTTCTTTTGGCTATCATAGGAAATAACCCTGGAAGATAAAGACCTGCGTATCCTCTAGAGTCCATGAAATTATTTAATACAGCCAGAAATATTTATTTATGCTGAAATATGACAGATTTGAAAGGATTTGATAATTTTTTTAAAATCAGAAATTTGGCAAAATTGGAAGCTAAAAATGCAAAGCCTTGAACAACAAACCTCTCTCTTTCTCCCTCTCTTTCTCTCTCATGAAAATCAATAAATAAAATTTAAAAATATATGGAGGAAAGAGTGGGGAGAGGAATAGCTGGGAATTGTATTAAGTTCTATATGAAGACTGGGCTCAACTGTAAAGGCCTTGAGCTTTAGATTCATTCTATAGGCGATGTGGAAGCATTCACAGTTTTATTTTTATTTTTTAAATATATTTTTACTGATTTCAGAGAGGAAGGGAGAGGGAGATAGAAACATCAGTGATGAGAGAGAATCATTGACTGACTGGCTGCCTCCTGCATACTCCCCCTAACCCCGTGGGGGATCGAACCCTCAATTCAGGCATGTGCCCTTGGCTGGAATCAAACTCAGGACCCCTCAGTCCATAGGCCAACACTCTACTGGCCAAACCAGTAGGGCCATTCATGGTTTTAGATCAGTGACCCTCTTACAGTCAGCATTAAAGAGATCACAATAAGAAGGAAGGGAAAGGAAAGAAGGAAAAATCACCAGGGGTCAGATCAGTTCTTCCGCCTTAGTCCTAACGGGAAATGCAAGGGTCCCTTGTCTAAATCCAAGCCCAGAGCCTCCGCTCTCCCTACAGTCACCAGAGTTTAGTAGATCTAAGGCATATCAGAAAACCATCCCACTCTTCCTTTCTCATCTTGGGCAAATTTGCATCTCCCCAAAAGGGTTTAATTTTTTGTTGTTGTTTGTTTGTTTTTTGTTTTTGTTTTTGTTCCATTACCTCCCTCTCCACATGAGTAAGTCCTGTCTTGCTTTAAGATTCAGATCATATTTCAACTTCTTTGTGAAAACATCCCTGGTCAATACACCTATCTTTGCTGTGATTGTATCTTATACATCATCTATCACTATTACACCTACTTCTGACTGCTGTTACTACCCCTGCCACTAACAACAACGATCATTTTGAATTCGGACATTGAACTAGATGCTCTGCAGCTCAGTAATCCTCACAACTCCCCATCACACTTGATGTAATCATTTCCACTTACTGGAGAAGAGAACCAAAGCTCCGAAAGGATAAATGACTCACCCAACATTGCAGAACGAATAACTGGCAGAACTGGTATTCACACTGAGGTGTTTGGGTGTACAAGCCATACTTTTTCTTTACATCACCATCACAGGGCTTAGCACACGGCGTATTAACTGTGTGTGTAAACCTCTCTCCTGCCGGCATGTGGGCTCCTTGAAGGCAGGGGCTGCATCTTCCCTGGTATGACAGGAGGGCTGGTTTGTCTGACAGTCTCAGTCCCCACTTGGTTACCATGGTGCTGAAAGGATGAGTACATTTTGGCTTCTGTTGTGTGCTTAATCTGAAAGATTAACAAACTATTTCTTAAAGGGCCAGATAGCAAATATTTTTAGGCGTGGGTGCTATAAGATCTCTCTTGTAGACTCTGCCATTGTAGCATGGAAATAGTTATAGATAGTACGGGAACAAACGAGAGTGGCTGTGTTTCAATAAAGCTTCCTTTGCAAAAGCAGACACCCAGCCTGGGAGTCCTATGCGCTTACCCGTATTTATATGAACGTTATGCTTTGGAGCTTTGAGTTCTTTTAAGTTTTAAGGAAGTTGTAAGGGAGCAAGACTTTATTCCTTCTCCTCTTAGGTCATCAGCTGGTACTCTTAACAAAAAGAATGAACAAGGGGAGAACTATTAAAGCATGCAGTGTACGTGATGTGGGAGAAACCTGCCCAAAAGTCACTCAAGTGGCGGCTGAGATTCCAGCTTATCTGGCATCTTCCGTGGGGCAGAACATATTTTTTTTTTGAGAAAGGACAGGACAAAGGGAAGCGGCCTCTGAGAAGGTAAACTTATGGAGGAAGGTTTCTTTGCAGATTCCCTTGGTGCACCTCTGGGGTGATTAAGAGACTGTCTCCAGTAAAAAGAATTTGCCTTTAGGTAAAAAAGGAGAAGGTTTATTTTGTTTGTTTGTTTTGTGTGTGTGTGTGTGTGAGTGTGTGTGTGTGTGTGTGTGTGTGTGTGTGTGTGTATGTGTTTGCTGCTCCTTAATTGCTTTTAGCTCAAAATAATTTTTATGTCAAAGAGCATATTTTGGGATGACATATTCTGGTGTCCTTCAAAGTCCAACTTATTAACCTGTTCTTTTATGGATTGTGCTTTTAGTGTCGTATCTAATTTTTTTTTTGTTTAACTCAAGGTCACAAAGATGTTTTTCTCTATATTTTACCCTTCAGTGTTTTTTTGTTTTGTTTTTAAATCTTCAGCTTTTAGTAAAGAGTTGTTCTTCTTAAGAATGAATGAATGGCCAAAACCGGTTTGGCTCAGTGGTAGAGCATCGGTCTGCAGACTGAAAGGTCCCAGGTTCGATACAGGTCAAGGGCATGTACATTGGTTGTGGGCACTTCCCCGGTAGGTAGGGGGTGTACAAGAGGCAGCTGGTCGAAGTTTCTCTTTCATCGACTTTTCTAGTTCTCTATCTCTTTCCCTTTCTCTCTGTAAAAAATCAATAAAATATATTAAAAAAAGAATGAATGAATAATTTAAATGCCTTTACTTTCTACTCTCCCCACCCTGGACTCCCTACCATGAAGCTCAACAGAGATTCCTTGAATCCTAGTCTGATTTTTGATCTCCAAACCTGCTGGTTTGTTTGCCTACAATTAATAATTCCCAACCCTTTGGTGTTTCAACACATTTTTTTTTAAATAACATACACCATTCCACTTTTATTTACATCCCCAACCTGATTTTAAAAATTAATTAAATTTAAAATTAGTTTTTTTAAAATATATTTTATTGATTTTTTACAGAGAGGAAGGGAGAGAGGGATAGAGAGTTAGAAACATCGATGAGAGAGAGTCATCGATCAGCTGCCTCCAGCACACCCCCCACTGGGGATGTGCCTGCAACCAAGGTACATGCCCATGACCGGAATCGAACCCGGGACCCTTCAGTCTACAGGCCGGCGCTCTATTCACTAAGCCAAACCGGCCTTGGCTAAAATTAGTTTTTAATGTCAAATTTTTAGGAACTTCCTGAGATCACCAGAGACCATCTGGGTTACAACAGTCCCCTCTATGAAGTACAGAGAACAGTCACTAGACAGGATGGGTTTGGACCAACCTAGGTCAGAGGTATGAGATTGTGGCTGAGACAAGGACTGGGTTCAGAGGTGGGACTCAGAAGTGGATCAGGCCCTTCCTTATATAACAGTCACCTGTCATAACTGCTCAGCTCTGTATACATTTCCTTTATTTTTTTTTAAAAAAACTGATGGTGCTTTGTACAAATACATATAACAAAACTTTGAAAAACAAGTTAATCTGAAGGGAATATAAAGGCAGAAAAGTTGGAACTAAGATTAAATTTAGCAACAATAATGTTGTAGAAGGGATCAAAATTTAGGCCTAAGCTTTCTGGAGGTCAAAGTAAGGAGAAAGATCTTTTCATTTTACATCACAGTGCCTATAATATAGCAACATTCCAGTGTCTAAGAGAGGTTTGTTCCAGGAGAAGACACCGTGCAACGTCACAAGGAAGGTCTCCCTGCCATTTGTTTAGCAGTCCCCATTCTGTCGTCAGGTGGGATGAAATTTCAGCAGCCTCTCCACCCTGTTTCTCACAGTTTCAAAAAGAATGTGCAACTGGATGCTTCCACCATGCTACTCCCTCCCCCTTTCCCATCCCTTTCATTTTTACCTATCTACTTGCCTAGAATATTTGAGACAATGGAAACTGAGTTTTATTCATCTTCACATTTATTTATAAACCTCTTATTATGGACAAAACGGAGCTTAAAACTGGTTTATTAATGAAATAATAGTACATTTAAGAATTCCAAGAGAGGCCAGCAACCTAAAAGGACCGGTGGTAGCTGGGTCTCATCACCTGGGACCACACAAGACTTCTAGTAGAGTACCTGCCTGGTGTTCTGTCTGACGCTGAGCTCTGGAAGCAACTGTGATGGGCATAACACCGTCCCTCCCCCATACAAAGAGCTCATGCAAAGCAACTCGCTCCTTAGTCACATGTGAAGAGGAGTAAGACATGCATCCTTCCTGGAGATTGAGAAGAATGTGAGGGTCAGGGGAGAGGGGGCGAACAAAAAGGCATCTTCGGGGGAGAGGACACTTGAGCCCAGTCTAGATTGATGAGTAAGACTTCAACAGACAAAGGCACAGCCAGGAATTGACATGATGTGGGGACCAATGGGTGGGTGTCAGAGGGAGGAGTTGGCAGAGATCAGGGTGACAGGGTAGGTCAGCCCGTGGCAAACAAGTCCCCTATAAAAGTGGAGTGGCACATTCCAGTTAAACGTGCCCTGTCTAATTATTAATAGCACCTCCTTTGGTCTCAACAGCAGTTCAGATTTGGACTTTAGGGCCGTCCATTCTGCGCCCTTCTTCTTCTTCTTTTTTTTTTTAATCTCATGTCAAAACCTTCATTATGCTCCAATCGCCACCTCATCCCTCTTGGTTGGGTAGCTCAGTGTTGGCAGTCAAAGGGTGGGGGGCCTTATTCCAGAAAATGAACTGAGACCATCAGAGACGGGCCTTCAGCTGTTATGGAAAGGATCCTCTCAGTCCAGAACTGAACAAACCTGATAATGTGCCCAGCTGAGAGGAGTCCTATTCCATCTCAGAAGCCTTGCCATCACCCTCCCACTTAGAATTTGTGACCCTCATTCATTTCCCCATGTTTTGTTTGATGCTAAGACATTTTCACAAGGAGTAATTTATGTTTTTTGGGTGTCTAACCCACTCAACTCTAAACCCTGATCATATATCTTTGTGAACCCAGCACTCCGCTGTTACTCACCTTCACATACCACCATCATTACCTTCAAATAGTTCCAGACACTGTACTAAAGGATTTCCTTGTATTATCTCTCTTAATCCTTGTAATAATAGTTACATGATTATCCCCATTTTGTAGATGAAATAAGTTCTCATAAATGTGAGACAACTTGCCCAAGATCACAGGGTTAGTAAGCAGCTGTGTTGGGACTTCAGCCCAGGTCTGTCTGTCTGTCTTGACTCCCAGAGTCCCAACGTTACTGCAGTGGCAAATCAGACCCCTAGCATTAGTGTGATATATGTCAAATTTAGGAAGGTCAAGATGTTCCAAAGTCTTTGCATCCATTATCGCATTTAATCTCCTCAAGTAACCTAGGAGTTTATCAGGCCAACTCCATTTTATAGAGAACCAAACTGAGGCCTGAGGAATTACCAGAGGCCAATATTTGACCCAGACCACACCCCTAGTTTTCCTGCTATGCTTAGCTTTCAGTTCCTGTGAAAGCTTACCGGATCCAGCCGGTATCACAGGTCCTGAAGGTAGGACTAGGAGGTTTAAGAGAAATAAAGACAAGAGAAAGCGGGGCTTCAGGAGTACTGCTAGTGCATGATGAGACTGCAGCAGCTTTATTAGTTGCAGGCGTACATTTATGCGGCCTTTCTGGGCGTTTCTCCAAGTGCCCCTGTCCCAGGACAAGACCGCCCATCAGCTCCTTAAGGCGTTCTTGGAAAAAGATACATAGAGCAGGCATCTGGCTAGATATCATTGAGAACAGCTTAGCTGAGAACATCCAGATAAGTCATGCATCACACGCACTCCCTAACAATGGGGCTATGGTCTGCCTGTCCCTAGTTGACCCTGAAGGCTTAGGGGAGAGCAGGTAGGCGTCCCTACCCTGTGCTCCATCCTTGCCCTCGGGCCCCTCGGAACACGGCTTCCCACAAAAGCTACTTAAATTCTCTGAACCTCAGTTTCCTCTCTGATAGAATAGGCATATTCACAGTTCCTATCTAATACTGTGTTGTTGTTTTTATAGACTTAAATGAAGTCATCGTTGCAAAGGGCAAATTCTAAATACTCAGTAGGTATGAGCCATTCTTCTTCTAAATATTTAAGTCATGTGACTTTAAGCAAGTCCTATAACCTTTCTGAGCTTCAGTTTCCTCACCCACAGCATAAGAGGTACATCGTCTACTTTGTGAAGATGAAGTGAGATGCTATGGTAAAGGTACTTGCATGCAGAGGAAGTCTCTCTGAATGGTAATGACCACAAGTCTGGAGAAGGCTGTGGAGTGTCACCAGACCAGTAGGCACAGCCATTGTAACCGCCCTGACATTATTTGGATTTCAATTGCCTCTCCCTCTCGGGACTCAGAGTTTGCCCCAATGCTATCTCACCAGTATCCTGATATATTCCAGTTTGTAGTTAGAGTTGAAACCCCAGTAAGTAAAATGACTCACTTAGGTCACCCAGGTCAGGAAGCTCACTGTGAGGCACCTCAGTTTCTCTAGGTGCTTTCATAATTAGCTCACACAGCTGGAGGCTCATTTGGAAGAGGTCTTGATAGGGGTACAAGTAAAAAAATATGATTTTTCCATTTCATTTCTCTCTCCTTTCCCACACTTTTACTAAGAACGTGGAATTGATTAATCAATAGTATATATTTAACCTATGCTCTGGCTAGGATTTTGTTGCAGTTCTCAGGTGACCAGGCAGGAGCAAAAAGGTTTTTAACCCAGCCCTGAATTTACACAACTGGCTACCAGGAATTTGGAGGCTGATCGACTAGGTCTCAGAAACACCCGGGTGCTACTCACTGCCTGACCAGGGTCAGAATGCTGACCATCCTGTTCCAAGACATTCATCAAGACCCAAGACCCCTCAGGGACTCAAATTCCAGGACTGCAAACCACCAGAAACCCCTTATACTTCCTGCCCACATTCCCTTTCCCCAATTTCTCTGTTCTGTTTTCCTTCTCCCTCCTGGTAAAAATGCCTGCTTAAAATGAGAGGGAAAGATGGGTTTTTGAGGACAAAAAAAAAGTCTCCCATCTCCCCAATGGCTGGCAATTGAAATAAACTTCTTCCCTTCACCTCAGCACCTGTCTCGCAAATTTGGTTTTTGTGGCAACAGACCTGGCCACAGGTTATTCCCCCAGTTACAGTCCTGCATGCCCTGTGGTTCCGAGGTTAGGGTTTAATGGGACGCACATGTTTTTCCAAAGCTAAGCTTCATGGAACATCCACTGGAAACATCCAGTGGCTTTTAAATGTTTTGAGTGATCACAATTTGAAATATATCTTACGTTGTGTCCCAGTATATTGGATAAATGTATTAGTTTAAACCACAGAAAATGGCTATTTTTTTTGTGTGAGTCAAAAATGATTAGAAATGGGCAATTTTACATGATCAACTTAATATATTACTCAAACAAATTTCACAAAAAAATAATTCTTATATATTTATTTTATGCAATGCACTATATTTTCTATAACCTTCAAGTAAGTCCTATTAGGAAAAAAACAACAAAAACCTCTGACTTAGATCCAACCCAAGAGAGAACTTTTGGGGTCCAAGGCAATGATTCTGAGAAAGCAGGTTGATAAAATTCCAACTTCAAAGCTATATTTTTATCTCTTATATGTTCTATCCGCTCTATCAATTCCCCCTCCCCCCAAACCCCCCCTCCCCGCCCCACCTGCCAAGGATCACCAGAAACACATCTGTATTTGAACTAAGTTGGGTTTATTGGTTACTTACAACGAGGCAGCAAAACACGGGAACTCACCATGAACTCACAATGCACAGGGTGTTAGGGAAAGGGGTTAAGCTTCTATTAGGCAAGTCAGAGGAGGGTTTGTGGAAGCACAGATTAGTTCTACATTGGTACTTCCAGAAAGTGGGGCTGGTTCTTACCATTTATCTAGGTGGTAGAAGGAGCAGAATGGGCTAAAGCTTTAATTAGTAGCCAGGCACAGACGTGTTTGTTTTTTTCTGTTGCCTGTGCATTCAGACAGAGCTGGGGACTTCAGTGGTTTCAGTGGCCCCGTAGCCAGTCTGTTCCTGGGTCAGGATGCTACCCTGTTTTTTTCCATAGACCCTTTTCTTATAGTACCTGAAGGCATAGCTTAGCCCCAGAGCGACAGCCACCACACCCACTATGGTCCCCAGGCAGGCACCAGCAATGGCCCCGTCACTGGGCCCAGAGGCAGCCTGGCTCAGGAGGCTGGCTGGCAGAGACTTGTCATGGATGTTGGCCTGCCGCCAATGGCCGCAGCCTTTCTGCCTCACCCAGACCTGCTGACCACTGGAGTCCACCAGGTAAGAGAGCCTCTGGGAGCAGCTGCTGTTGCTGAGCGAGAGGGGGCGGGGAAGGAACGGGGGCAAGCGGATAGCTTCCTGCTCCCGGTCCACGATGGTCCCAGCCCTGAGGCAATAGAGGATTTGGCACCCATCGCTG